TGACGACTAATTTTGTTACGAGGACTGAGAGGTGCCTGGACATTCAAATAGAGTGCTGTGACGTCACAAGGGGCCGCGGTGTCCGTGTCCGGCATTGCACAATATACTTCCACTTCCATTTGAAGTTGTTACTAGGATTATTTTTAAACCGCGTCGAGAACCACTTTCCTCTTGTTAGTACAAACCTGTCTTGCAATTTGTTTTTGATAAGTTTGATTATTTAAGTGCCACGAAATATGTAATATGTGCACTCGACGGGCTCGTTCGAAAACAATGACTTCAGTGCGTGCAGCCATGTCAATATCACACAATTTGTTTAGTAGTTGACCCCTGACTTCAAACCAGGATTAGAGCTGTGATGTATTCTGCGTGCCACACTGAGGATTTCATATTATTCTTCTAATTTAAATTGGCAACGAAGTGTGTAGGTCAATATAATTCGACTTATTTTACTCTAGGTACTAATCGAAATATGTCATTCTTTTATATGTAGGCACATATGTACCTATGTATATTTTTAAGCGTTTAATGTTCAGTAAGGTTATTTGTTAATTAAATTGAAAATGGAGAACTTACAATAGTTATTAGGTATGAGGTCTGGCTCGGCATCGTCGTGGTCGAGCTTGGCAGGCGGCGCGGGCGCAGGCGGCGGCTTGGCGAGGCGCGGGCGGCGGCGCCGGCGCAGCGCCAGTGCGCACGCGCCCGCGACCAGCGCGCACACCGCGCCCGCGCCCGCGCCCAGCGCGCCCACTACGCCACTCATGCCCAGCTGCGCCTCCGACGCTGTGCATACACAAGGATTGCATATTCACAATGAAGAATATATCAATAACAGCTAGATAGCAGCACGACAATGCAGGGCAACAAGGCAGTGCTGACTTGTATTGTATCTGCCATACAACGACATTATCAACGTTATCAATTAATAATATGCTTTAAAGTAAAACCGCAAATATAATTGAAGGAGACTGCGGCGTCGCACCGCACCGGTTATGTTGCGATGGCGCTCGTGTCGTTTCATCGCACTTAAATGGCATGAAACTGTCACGCAACTAGCAACCTGCATCGTGCTCATGGTAATATTAATAACGAGAGGTGGAATTAATGATAGAAGTTGCGTCGCGGTCGCGCGACAGACGCCGCGACGCGCCGCGGATGCTCGGCCGATACAAATTACTTGCGTTACGTTATATTGCTGTAGTTGCTAGTTACACAAAGATTATAACTTGCAAACTATCATAATCACAACGTGTTTAGCCCGACAGCTGGGTACACAAACTTACAATGACATGTTTTACGAGTGTACAGGTTTAATGAATTTTATATGGTTAGTTTCGTGGAATTTTAATATAATTGAATAATTGATCCAGTTCTGGTATTTTTAGTTGAATAAAGTTTGGAATTGGCGGCGGGCGACAAGCGACGTCGTCGATACGAGGCCGCCCGCTGCACTCGCCGATAAATCATCGCCGGCGCGGTCGATTCATAAAAACGACAACGAATGAATAATCATTATTCATTGCACTTCATCAATGATTTATTACACGGTTATTGTATATTTCCTCGGCTCGTAATTAATACAACAAATCTGATTCAAAATATTGCGTATTCATCACTAAAGTCTCACTTCCATATAGCGTTCAATCAAAAAATCGATGCTTTCATAAGTCGGGCAGCGGCATGTTAGTCCTATAAAATATATTCTAATTAATCTAAAATTATTTTGCTCGGAACAAAGTATAAATGAATGTGCTCGCGCCGCCGCACCATCTACGAAGGAACGCTAGCAAATACCGTGTAATCAAATTACGCGAAGATATGTCGATTAAGTGACGACACGTAAGTGGCCGGTCGGTTCCGAGTTGGAGTAATGGTTCTAAAACAAAAGGCGGATTAGAGAGGCGCGCGATCATATTTCAGTGCGGGCAGAGCGGCTCCGAGCGGTTGATTTATTCGAGCTAGCGGCTCGACTCCACTGAATACGGCTCAAATAGCCGGCTAACAAATGGCCGCTCCGGCCGAACGCCAACCAAATAAAAATGATATGTTTGCTGGCATCATTTTTACCTAAATCCTTCGTTGATTCAAACGTGCTTTTTATTACCCACTACTTTGATTGAGTTACTATAATCCTGATTTATATCTCAAACTTAACTTACTATGACAGATTCCTACTATTGACTTAAACACTGCAACATATAGATAGCTATTATACGTGACGTCTTTATTTCTTGAAATATTTCCTTATCAGACTATTCTTAGCTACCGAGCGCTACCGAGCTTCTAAATGTCTGTGAGCAAACTGTTCCATACTGGACCACCGACTTATTGATTGCATAATAAAATATCTGCTCCATACACTCGTAAACATGATTATGTTTTGTAATTTTCCCATTTACAGATATCAATCCTTGGTCTAAATTGTAGAGCAGGTAAAACCAAATGGTCAATATAAGCAAAAACGTTACCCGAGGTGCCGTCCTTCGAGGCGAGAAATTAAAGGGTCCACATGTCGACGTCGATAACACGCGCATTAGTTTTTCTGCGTCAATGGTCTGCTCGACTGACGGTCCACTTATTTTTATCGAGTATTACAATTTTCAGAGAAACCTTTACAATATTCTCAAAATACGGGATGAAAGGTCCCAGGGCTCAGAGTGAGCTGTATAGCGTGGCGAGTTGGCGACACACAGTGCGAGGAGAGCTTCCACCTCTTGATTAAGCTCGCTGGTAGATCCGAGCGCGTTTAATTAAAATAGGATTATCTTGAGGTTGCAGAGCGGTGCGGCCTACTTCTGCACCGGTCGATATTGACATTCACTGACATTATAAGTATCGTTTGCTTAGATATGTGTCTCATTGTCAATCACGATTTGATAAATTCCTCAACACTAACTAGAATGCCATACGAGCGCGATATTGTCCGCGTTTTCAGTTTTCAACTTGTTACTTTCGTCATTATAATGTTAATACTCGGATGTGTACATTGTAATTTCTACGTATGGTTTAGATTAACATGCTAAAAATAATTATCGTCATGGGTTGTGAGCGCGAGTCCTGCAGTGCAGCAGCGGCAGCGGCCTGGAGCCGGAGTATGAAGCGCGGGACTACTTCGCCTAGTATGAGCACTGAATGCTGAACGTTTTAGCCGGTACTTTTCCTCGTTACTTATATTTCCCGGGTGAGGCTAATGTTTTCCCTCGGCTAATAATTCGCGGAGGATAAAGGCCGCTCGGCCGCCACTTAGTGCGCCGCCGTCGGCCTCGGCTCCCGAGGGACCCGCCCTTTACCCTCCAAATTGAGTTTCGCTGAGTGATTTAGAACAAAAACTAGTTATAGACGAGTGCCGGCGCTCGTATGTTTCAATGGCGAGTTAATGATTGTACTTAAATGTCGCGTTATTTTATTCAGAGGGCGACTTGTCGTGAGCCACCAACCTGTCCTCTTCTCCGGGTCTCTGAACAGCACGTCGTCGAGCCTGGCGGGCGCGGAGCGGCCCTTGGAGTTGAAGGCGACGGCCACGAGCCGGTGCCGCACGTCCCACTCGAGCCCGCGCACCGTCCACGACGGCTCGTCCGACGACAGGTTCACTCTACAACCAATACATCACATCGATCAATATTTTCCCTATACTTAATTTACATTTCTAACTTTATCCATCAATTTCACATTTTCTATTAGTTACTTATAATTGAGAGTTTCCTTAAACATGTAGGTGTTTAAAAGAATGAGGTGGGAATTTTATATGCACTTTCATGCAGATGTCAGTAATTATTAAATATAATTAGTCTGATACTACCCCTTTGTTTTCAACATTATGATAACAATCAAGCCCTGAAGTGCTAAGATCAGCACAAAATGGAAAACTTTAGGGAAAACATTTGTGTAAGGACATACGACAAGATAAGTTATCAAAATACACCTCGCGCGCACTAGTCAGATACTGTTTATTAGTTAATATAGGTAGGTAAGTGGTTTATATTTGTTTGTTTTGTTTGTAGGGACGGGTCGAAAGTTATAATCCAGATGTTGTTGTTGGTGCATTCGTTGCTAAACCTGTAACACGTGCACATCCAGTACGACCTGTTACAGCTCGAGCGGTTGCTGCTGACGTCACGTAATTATTATTTAACATTGATTTTATTATTTCACGTAAAGTGTACACGAGCCCGATTCCCAACAAACATTTTATGGGGTAATAAAATTGTGTGATATTTTAACATTTTTTCTCGTTATCCTCGTTTTATTGTTGCTAATGGCGAGCTGGAACCCATCATCTGTTACGCTTTATTGGAAATTATTTAGCTCCATAATTCTCCAGTAATTACAAGGCGGGCGCGGCGTCAGCGCTGCCAATATCAATTTATATTACAACTTTAGATATTTAGTCGCAAAGCGAGCGGTGCGGGACTGTACCCACCGGCCTCTGCTAGTGGAAGAGGAAGCCTCGGATATTATGTCATGTGCGCCTGCAATGGGTGGCGCGCGGCGAATTAACGTAGCGCTGATGGTAAGACGCCGCCGCCGTCACTAATAGCCTATTTGTAGGCGCACCAAGCGCAGACATACATGAATACGGAGCGCGCCACGAGATGCGTCGTGTAGGTAGCGCGCGGAGGGAGCGGCGCCCGGGGACCGGCCCGCGCCGTGTTCATTCACAATTAACGTTGTTTCACCAACTTTAATGAGGCCCCAATGTTTACACGGGATTCCACTTTGTGAGCTACTCGTGTCGCGCGCTCGGGACTACTAGTGAGCGAGACACTCGCCGGTCCCGATGCTCCTCCGTCCACTCCGCGCGCAAGTAGTTCGATGGGACCAGCCCCAGTAGCTTTTTATTATTATATTCCAGCAGTAACGTAAAAATAATAAAATGTCAGGGTCGCGCGTTTCCATATCCATTACGGTTTCGATACACATTATTTCACTTAAGCCGGTGCGTTCGGGGAAATATAATAAAGGAATTTTGTAATAATACGGTGTCGTTAAGTCTGCGCACGTCACCGGGGCGCAGCTTGAGAGCCCAGATTGCCTCTGTAATATTAAAAACAATGCTTGTCCCCCCGCGGCCCGCCCCCGCCCCGCCCCGTCCTGCCAGTCTGTGTATGCTTTATGGTAAACTAGAAGAGAAGAGTTCGTCGGAGTTACAGAGAGGAGTGAGGTGGATCAGTACCTGGGCACGGCGCTGTCGGAGTACACTTCGAGCAGGAAGCGCTGCGGCAGGCCGCCGTCGAAGCCCGCCACGCACGACACCTCCACCGACTCCGCCGTCTGGTTCCACAGCGTGCAGTTGCGGGGCGCGTGCGGCTTGCCTGCGCGTACAGGGTATTGTCATTTGATGGACATAATGAATAGTAGACGTGTACATGTTCATCAAGCGAGGCCCGACCTGCCGCCACCATCTGGAAGACGCAGGGAGCGAGCTGCGCGCCCACCTCGTTGGACGCGGAGCACGACAGCGTGCCGTAGTCGAGGTCTGCCACCGGAGTGTACCTGCGGGCGTAGCGAGTTAGCAGTGTGGCCTCCACAACATCGGGCCAACTCGTTATGTGGTTTATATTTGATTATATTATTGACGAACATTGTTTGTAAAATCAAAAATTCTATTGTTTTGTCCGACACTACATATAATGTTGTGTATACACTAGAGCTACAGGTAATAGTGTTACAGTAATCGTGAGAGTGTACTTGAGGCTGGAGGCGCTGCCGTTGGAGGTGTATCTGTCGGCGGCGACGTCGAGCGTCTCGCCGGAGTTGTTGAACTTCCACTTGAAGACGGCGGCGGGAGGGTCGGCGTCGACCTCGCACACGATGACCACGGACTCCCCCCGCGCCGCACCCACCACCGACACTCCGCTCGACCGGCACGACGGCGCGTCTGCAACACCGCACACCCTCACCTCGTCTCATCAACTCATCACATGCCAGCTGCCTTAGCAGCTTGCGCTCAGTGGGGATACAAATATAGTTTTGGTGCTCACCAGAAGCCGTTAATCTAACTGTCAAATCTAAGAGCTTCGCACTAGTCAGTTTCCTCAATTCTCATAAGCGGACTGAGAGGCGCATTCATAAGTGGTAGTTACTTATCTTATTGTTCTATCTGATCAAACTTACAATAATACGTAGGTACTAAGTTAGTGCTCTGAAATCTTTAAATAAACAATAAACTTTTACGGTCACGAATGCGTTTGATATCTACCTATGACCTCACACCCCGTACATGTGAGAATGTATGTTTAAAAATCACACAGGCGACTTATATGACACTAAATTTTAAATCTAAAGCGATAAGGAAGTTAGTTTTTGATAATACTTAAATAAATATAAGAACCGAATATAATAATTCACTTTAAGTTTACGTTACTATGGAGGTATCGACAATGAAGGCCAAGGGTGCCGTAAATTGTGAATTAGGGGTAAGGAGTAATTAAGTGGTCGCGGGTCACCCCTAATGGCAGCCCCCCCCACACCGCGACACGGCGACACCGCGACACGGCGCGCCCGCGTGCTCGTCCCTCACCCACATACTAATTAAGTACTCGCCAATTAAAACCAAATCCGCGTTAGCGAGAGAAACAATTGATGCAATAAATGTGATTGTCCCATTTTATTACATCGCCTCCATTTTGCTAGTGAGCTTCAAAATAAAATAGCGGGGACGCAGCTGCCGTAGTGAAATCTTGAAACATATTAAACGCTCCGAGACAAAACCCATTTAAATAGGTAATGCAGAACGTAATAGGATAATCTACCTTCGGACCGGAGCAAGTACTTCAGCAGAACCCGCTGTAGCAGTACAGTAACGGCGGCGGGTCACGAATGAAATTGCTCCGATCGAAACGAGCAATAACAGCAACTTCATTACTAAACATTTTTTCTTGTGAAACAAAATTTATTACGACATTACTCGCAGTTATGTCCGCCATTAAAAATTCCCATCTTATTTTGTCAGGCCATATCTTACAATTGGCAAAATAGATCGACAGCCATTAGTGAGGCGGGAGATGTACCGGCACCTGCGCCGACACTACCACACACTCAACGCTCGGCGGCGGTTTTCCTGTTTATTGTAATTCCCATGTTCCACCTCGTGGACGTACGCCAGAAATCGGGGAGTTCGCGGAGCACTTTCTCGTGACCGTGACCGCTGCTCCAGCGGATGGGTCCCGCGAGTACTGCAGTGGCACTCATTCACACCTCCCGGTAGATTCCAATATGGCGTGCTTTATCTTCTTGCATAATTCTGTTTGACGTGAAACGACAAGGCCCGAATGGCGCGTGAATATTGCATGAAACTGTCGAATCCTTCGGAGATTTAGGGAGCCAACACTGAATTTAAAATACTATCAATGAGATGAGACTATATTCCCATTCACCGGGTGCTGGAATCGTTTCTGCAAATGTACGTTAAGCATTTATATAGATCCGAGGTGTATGGGGTAACATAAAGATTGTGAAAGAAGTGTGTCGACTTAGCGTGTAGTAGCTCGGAGGTTAATGGGCCCGTTATGGGTGCTCGGTGCGGGTTCGAAACATGGCAAGTAACAATGTCTAGTAAATATTGCCACAAGGTATGTACTCTAAGATTATACATATTGTAATAATTATAAGTTTGAAATCGAACGTGATGATTAATTTCTCGTACTTGCTCCGTGTGAGAAGAGGTATTTGCTCAGAAGTGAGCACTTATTGGCTAAGAATGATGGAGACTTAAAGTAGCCACTGAACTGTAATCTAGTGATTTCTGTACAGCTAGGTTCGAGGAGACGACGTTATAAAGGTATAATTAGAGAATTAGAGTTTATGTGCCCTGTAGTGTGTAGGGGAGTACCGACAGTATAAGCTGATGTGGCTGGATATAAATGTCGTATTTACATTTGACCCTGAAGAGCAGCTCGTTGGAGACGGTCTCCCCCTCTGCGTTGAGCGCCGAGCAGGCGTAGCGGCCGGAGCTGTGGCGCGTCACCTTCTGCAGCACCAGGCTCTGGTTGCTGTGGAACACGCGTGCCGTCGCGTTGTGCGCCAGTGCGCGGTCCTGCAGCAAAGAATACAACCTTACTATTTTATGAATATAAATACTACCACGTAGTAATCTATTGAAAACAAATGAAAACTAAAAGAAAAAGATGAGTAGTGGCATTTTATAAGCCATGTCGATGACGATGTAATGTAACATGAAAAAATGTTCGTGCAATATTATGATGACGTAAATGTTCTTTTCTGAGAGGCTGAGGAGCGGGGCAGGGGCGGGGGCGGGGGTACAATTACTAGAATATATTTACACAAAGGGTCCGCCCATTACCGCCGGCCCTACAAAAGGCGCCACTCCAGCGGACAAAGGTACTCGTTACGTAGTAGAGAGGACTGATTATATATTTTTTTGTTTGAAACAAAAAGATTTTTAGTATCAGTGAGACGTGTTCCTCTCGCTGTATGCCAGAGATCCGTTCTTGATTAGACTTACTTTCATATTTAGACAATTATTGTCTTTTGTTTTATTTATAACAACAAAGGCCGTTCGACGTAGGAATCTACTGATTGTGATGTCCGCAAGTCATTGTCGCCTGAATCAGAACTTACTCGTATTATATTCATGAACTGTAGAAGGTGAAAAAAAAACTACAATTAATTAATTAATACAACTTAAGCAGATCTAACGTAGATCACCAAAAATATTAAATTCCTTTATCAACTTGCTATGACTGATCGATTAACTTAGAATTTTGTCCATTCGTATTTTTTGCGTATTTTAGTGAAAGGTAGAGGAAGCAACTTTGAAAGAAAAAATGTAGGTGATCGTATATCTTGAGTAATCATTCTAAACCGTCAGTTTATTTTTATTAAATAATACGTAAGCTTACACACTATGTAACGCTTTGGTTGGATTTGGGGCAAGAACTTATGAAGGTGCATCAGTTTCAGTAGATGGTGAACTCACTGTAGACAGTTGTAATGTCGTTTTACAAATGAAGTCGACAAAACTGAAGAACAAAAAATCTGTTTAGTCCGCTGACTCCGTTGTCTCGAAACAAAAGGGGAAATTAAAAAAGACATTTTGAAAGCTGCGTGAAATTAGTGCTACAGACTGTTGGCGCTGATGAAAAACACATAATTGCGCCTTTACCTTTGTAGCGAGTAGTGCACAGCTGGCCAGAGGGCGCCCGCGCTCTCTGTGCCGCCGCGTCGCGCGACATTGTTTAACACGAGTGTCGAGATTACGAGGGACAGAATACAGGTGCAGCTGCTCAAAGCCATTGATGTTTTTGTTTAAATATTATTTCAGGTGTTGGTTGGCTCTACGGATGCCATATACATAATACATATGTATACCGATGTTTCCAGTGTTTCGTAGTCAAAGTGTTATGTTATGAACAGAAATTAATATATTTTTTTATGCTATATAGATCAGCAACGCACTCGTTTTGTTCGGGAAATAGGGATTTCGAGATTCTGGGATAGGGCCTCCTTTGACCTCACTCACACGGCGAAACACAAGGCAGTGGTATCATTCCAGTTGAGCCGACCCATTCGTGTCGAAGCATGGCTCTCCTACCACTTATTACCTAATAATATTATTATTATTATGAAGATTCAAATTTTTGTTTATTTGTAGCCGGAACAAATATGTATTTACGTTGACTTGTGTAAAAATAGTTTGAGGATCATTCTGTCGGTGCTTTGTAAAGAAACTTATTCCAAACATAAACGATTCCGATTGGATTCATCGAAGTAATAATAGAACGAGTACGATTCCTGTTCACACGTCTGTGTATAGTATACATAATGTATATGTGTGAATTGATACAAATAGATTCATCGGTGATTTTCTCATCAACACTACAGGAAACGTTTCGAAAAATCTTGATCTTGGGATCCATCCCGCGTGAATGGAGAGAGACTGATTCAATCAGGCTGGTCCATTATGAGGCAGACGAGTTTCATTGGAGCACAATCTCGTGGATGATCACGGGAGGTCGCGAGGGAGCGCCCCGCGCCTCGCATCCTGCGCCCTCTGCCGGCGCCACTCCGCGCAAATAGCTGCCATTAACGAATAAAGAGAGGTATTTTCCACCTGATAACACTGTTTGCTTACATTCAGCTCAAGGCATTCGCGTATTCGTCGTGATTGGTCTATAGCCGTATATGAGAGACAGCTACAGCTATCAGACACCAACCGCGATGGGCTCAGCAACATCAATTAATACGTACTTCTGCCTTTGTGTGCTCTAACCCACCCATATCTTCCATAGCTGAGAAATTACATAAAATTACTAGAAATTTGGGGACCAGAGAGTAAAGTTCCCTAAGAACGGAAAAGAAGGATCCTCCGACTAGGCGAGGTAATCATGCCTGGCGCAGACTGTGACCGCTGGGTGCTCACATTAAATAGCCACCAACTTAACCGATGTCGGATTTATGACATGATCAACGATCATTGTGAAATTAATATTTCTCGTTCAAACGAAATTACGTCGGCACATTTAAGCAAATTCATATGAAACGATGACACATCTACAGTATTATTTATATATTTTTAAATTGTTTAAATAATAAAATCATAGTGAATAACAATTCTTGTTAAATCGGTGAAGTAAACGCGCCTTTTCATGTCCTGCTCATCCTTATCGTGAGTCAAATTCTTGGAATATCGTCAGTCCCAAATCCCATTCGTGAGTTTCCGATTGAACGAGGAACCTATTCGAATTACATTTGGAATTCAGTATAACTTTATTACAACTATTAGGCGGTAATAACTATTTAAATGAGACCGGGCACCGGAGTCGACGCGCTGCCGTCCCGAGCGCCCGTTACTGCCGCGCTTGGGAATTTAGCACGATATAAATATACAGTGGTCTCGGGGACTCTATGATCTCAAATCGTACAAGTTATTATATTGTATATGACAATATGTACTCAGCGTTATGTAGTTAAGTGATTTGTATCGTGCGTGGCACTCCTTTGCCTATTTGGAAGGGCCCAATCCAAGCACTGTGTAGATAATTGTAGATATTAATTTAGTCATCAGAATGAAGTTATTCAAGTAGGATTGCCGGTGGTACAGCTGGTATATCTTGTACGATAAAATATGATTGAACATTAAGGGGCAGCCGCCGCCGGCAGCTGGGCAGCGCGCGGCCGTAAGTCATCGGCTCACCAACTCCGCCCTGACTAATTGTTCAGATTATAATTTATATAAATTTCACTGGAATTTATGGTGGCTTAAGTCGAGGAATTTATGCGTCGTCTTATTATTGTGACAGCTCATCAGTCGCAGCCACCGGGGCGAGAGCCCGACTCGTTCCTTACCCACACTGACACACTACTGATGCCACTCGCTACTACTGTCATCAGTACTGCCTTACTGCTCATTTAATTACTATCAAGAATTATAAGTGTAATAATTTACCTCCTTTGAAGTCAAATAATGGTCAAATATAAGGTGCTATATTTCTTTTAGAAAAGATCCCACTGATGGTAGCGAAAATGGTAGCTATATACTTTACAGATTTTAATTAATTCATCCTTAAATGTTATTATAAGAATTAACATTACAATGAAACCATTTGATATTTAATTATTAGAATTAGAATATTAGTTATTGACAGTACTCTAATATGTCCCTTTGATTGACAAGTCGCCGCCATCTTGGATCCCGATGGATATTAGTTCGCGGGTAGCGGGCACTCGATGCGCAAGATATTGATACTTCAATCGGATTGAGAGCTCGTTCCCGAAATATTTTGATTTTATTATTAAAATCCTTTTATTTGTAAAGGATCCTCTAGCATATATTGTTCGTCTGTTGTGAGGAAATTGCGAGAGGTAACATTTTATTGTTTACCGCAATATGAAAATATCGTTCATAAGGATTCAATGATATACAATATTAGGTGTTGTGTTACCTGCATGGCTCAATAGGACTAATATTTTTTTATTTTGCGTGTGTTCAGTGGAAAACGCAACCGAGGTTCGAACTCGTTGATTCTTTTAAATTATCAGAGCTGCGAGGTCACAGTGCCGGTGTACTAGTGCGGTGCGCGGCGGAGTATTGTTCCGTCTCACACAAATTATGCAGTAGAGCACAAAGATCCCCGCAATGTATCGAACTGTACCCGTTGCCGTAACTTAAGTACCGGAGATATTAACGAGGAATGTTCCAAGAGTTTGTGTGGAGTCCAACGTCGTGTCGTTTAAACAAAATGATCATTATCAAAATGAACTAATTTGCATACATTGGAGTAGTAGAGTGGCGACATTCGCACGGTCGTGTGCTTCAGTATTTTATTTAGTATTGTACGAGTGGCTGAGTGATGCGAGTGTGTGTGTGTGGCCGCCGCCAATTCCCTGTTAATTAGTAGGACAGTGTTAGCGTTAATGGTGAATTATACAGACCGCCCCGCGGTGGTCCCGGGACGGTCACTCATGTTTCGAGCCGGGAGATGAGTGGCGGTGCGTGTTCGGACGAAAACATTTGGCATCTAAAGGACTTAATAGTTGTAGTGTAAAATTAATAAATAACGTATTTTTTAATAAAATTATTTTCCGAAACATGAGTACCTATTTGTTTGAACAGGCGTTCCTTGTACAACTAGCTGCTATGTAGCACTGTGTATCTGTTTAAATGTACCTGAGTGTGTGATTATAAACAACATTTCAATGGATACGTCATAACCACATTCATGCTAGGTTGCCAAGGATTTAATCTACCTAAAGAATATAAAACAATGCAAATATTGGAGCGAAAATAAACTAAATATTTTCGATATGGCTGGCAATGATGATCGTAAACATTGGACGGTATACAGGGGTCCGTGGCAAATAACCGCTGTAAATTATGTGCGTTTTAATTCGCGCGGCGGCGTTGCGTCCGCCATTTGTCAAAAACAATCACACATAAAACAATGAGACGTGTCAACACCGCGCGACAAATGGACGGCGTCGCGTCGCGTCGTGCGACAAAAATGACGCGAATAATATCGCGCGTCGTCCGTCACGCGGCGCCCGCCACACAATGCGCGCGATGCACGCTTTTGTTTAATCACTGCGGCTATCACCGCCACCAATATCTCTGTACCGCGCGATGTCACCCCTCCCTCCCGCAGCCCCGCCCCCCTCGCCTCCGCGTATAACTCACAATCGCTCCAAATTGTTTAAATTCCAAATACCACAAAACCTGCTGAAATGGAAGTTGACAACTCATTGTATTCTTCATTCGGGTTTCACGCAGATATTGCACCTCGGTCCCTTGCACTGCTACTACAAATTTTGTTTTAATTAAGTTTTTGTTTTGTTGGTAGGTGATAAGATCTGCAATCTTTACGTATTTTTAATGTACAGGATTTAGAACAATGTGGAAATAATTTGTGTAAGTACATTGATTTTTATACATCTTGCACGACAGTAATTATGCGGCTTTTTACTTTAAAATTTTTTTTAGGTGAGTGCGAAATCAATTTTTCTATTTCTAAATTACCAACCCTGATTAACCATTATTGATTTGCAATGATATGAACACTTTCAAATTCCAGTCTGGTAGTTTATAGTTTGTGTTGAAGTAGACAAAAACGAAAACGGACGTCCATCGGTATGCATCGGCAGCGCGCGATGCGACGCGGCGAGGCGAGCGCGGTGTAATGTGGATGTGCAGGCTGGTAAGTGGGTCGAATAGAGTCGGCTCGAGTCCCGGCACTGACAACACAACACTACGTGGAAACAATACAGAGAAAAAAGCGTAGTGAGTGGAGGCGGGCGCGGCGATGCGTGTCGCGATCCGTGTAACAACGCGCGGCTGATTGCCTCTGAAAGGGTGAAGCGAAACAAAAAAAATGTGTCCCGCCCACCCTGTATATTGCTGATTAAAACAGAGCGACACAGTACAAAGCGATTATCGGACCGTACACCGACGTCTATTGCGTCTATCCGCGCGACGCGACGCGCCACTGCTGGCGCTGTGGTTATTGTTGTCACGTGGCTTCCCTTACATCCCATCAGTATACCATAGCTCCACAACGTGGCTGCTGAGTACAGTGAGTAGCCTATACTCACCAGTTTAATGCACTGCAAGATTTGCGCAATGCCTGTGCAACCAGCTACTCGGTACTGTTTCGTTCCCGCACGAAAGATTTATGTATTTGAATTTCAAACAAGAAAAACACATTGCAGGCAAATTTTAAAAATAAAATAAATTTTTGTCTGGTGTTTTCTTAACTATGGGAAATTACAGCAAGCACTAAATTACACTTATACAAAAAACAATATGAAATTATTTAAAAACATTTGTGAAATTAAATAAAGCAAAACAATGCAATGCTATATAATAAAAATATTTCAAACAAGACATGAGTTATACATTTGAAGTAATTTGAATTATACAAAAACACAAAGTGAATGAGATCAAATATAGAATTTTTGTGTGCGATCCACAAATTGTTATTTCCACCAACAACACAGAAAAAAGTTTATTATTGGATAACGGTTACTTTCAATGCCTACAATTTTATCCTGTCAACTATTATCGATCTACTGATTACATTATCGACCGATCTCAAACCGACTCATTTGAATACAGTAGTTTCCAACTAGTCAAATTCAATACTTTTTATCCAAATGTCAAAAACGATACTTCGTCATAGTATTTTTGCGTCAAATAGCATACTTATTTCTTAATAATTAGCTATAAAATATCTAAAACTTAGTGTATCGATCGATTGATGAATAAAAGTATAGTTTATCTTTCAATATTTTATTGTATTGACACGTCGAATTAATTTATTTTGGACCCAATTATTGATATTATTTGTATATTTTTTAACAACAATCATTATAAGAGTCCTGTGTTGTGCTCCTTATTATCAGCTACGAGCTAGGAGCACTGATGCTAACTAAAGTGGGTGTACAAGTAGGTACTGCAAGGGCTACAAGGAAGCAGTGTGACTCACGTCGTGCAGCCAGGACAGCTTCCTGGCGGGTGGGTTGGCTCGCACGTGGCACTCGAAGTACACGTCGTCCCCCTCCTTGATGTCGCCGGCCGCCAGCGAGCTGCCCAGTCTCAGCCGCACCACCGGCGGGTCTGCAAGCAAGCCGTCGCAGTCACTACCATTGTATTGTTGGCACTGTGCATCTACATTATGTTAAAATGCGGAGCCAACACATGTTTAATTAAATATGTTTCATTAATAATGAAGTCATTTTGAAGGTACGGCACACTTGGAAGCCCATAAATTAAATGGCTGCGAGTGGTATGGTGCCCCGCAGCACCCGCAGCGCCCGCAGCGCCCGCAGCGCCCGCAGCGCCCACATTTCTTTGATCGTGTCACTAAGAATAACTGTTACTCACGCTTTCATTAGTCTCACTTTATGTTGATGTAATTGTCTCTGGAGCTGGCTACAGCAGTACGTGTATGAAAGAAGAAAGAAAGAAAGAAAACTGTTTTTATTCGGACCGAGACATGAAGGCCAAGAACAAACAAAAAAATACAACAATAAAAAAAAAACAAAACAATAAAAGTTTAAAGTAACAAGACAACAAAATATAATAAAAATAAAATTAATCAAAACAATAACGTGAAAACAGCCTAAAAAATACATTAATACAACCCTGGGTTGGCGGACATGCCTAATCCGAATGGGTCGCCAACTCAGCAAAAGCTGGGCACGGAGCACCCAACACTGATTTTAAGTTGGCACCCCTGCAGTGACGCACGGACGAATGCAACACATTCTATCTACTAGTTACTAGTAATTAGAGCATTTTAATCTGCATTATGACAAAATATCTTAGTTTTAAGACTTGCGGGCTCTAGTGATCAGTCCAGGGGAAAATAAAAGAAACGAGATAGATAAGAATATTATAATACTAAAATATAATTAAATAGTGATATGTTAAATATTTTTTAAGATTACTTTTTACATGTTCAATAGTATATATATTTTTTTAATATAGGTAAATATATGTCATAATTTAATGTTGGTACTTGAAAAATAATACACCATAAAATCGCAACAATAATCTTGGAAGTTGCGGGTGAGCAGGGTGTCGCATTGTTACTTAAATACTGCTGCACAGTTTAACGCTCATTTGCACCATAACTACGCGCACCATCACTACGATGGTATTGAGTTACTATTGAGGGAAAAACCAGAATTTTGCGTGACGTGAAACTGAACAAATGCTATGATAATCGGCGATCAACTCTCGCAACAAAACTCGAGCGGTGACGGTGAGTCCTTTATTTATTAAATAAATATAATTATGTGAATATAATAGTGAGGAGTAGGTATAGAAAAAATATTTTTTAGTAATATGTGATTGCAGATATTTAATTGTAAATTAATGATAGTGTTAATAAATAATACAAAAGTAAACATTAAATAAAAGACAGGTCAATATTTATTTCGGCGCTATTGATTTGAGAAGTTAGCACAAACTCTTTGAGCTTTCTTCTGAAAGTACCTATACTTTGCAAATTCCTAATAGGCGGGGGATATTGTTCCAGCACTTTGACGCCGCATACCTGAAACTACCTCTTGCGCGGTAAACGCAGCGGTTTTATGCTGCGGTATAGCCAGCTGCTGCGCACAACGCCTACCCTCTCGCTGGCGATGTGCATTCACCCACGAGAGCTTCGAGTAGAGGTATGACGGGCATTTACTTCTTATGACACCAAAGAGGAGACAGGCTAGATGAAGCTTACCACGTGACTTCATTTTTAACAGATTGTGTTTATTTAACATGTATCATGTTTGTACTCACAGACGACGTTGATGGTCCAGGAGGTGTCCATGCTGAGGGTGGTGACGTTCGGGTTCTCCGCGCGGCAGGTGATGGGCTTGCCGTCGTCGTCCAGCGTCGGCACGAAGCTCATCACGCTCACCGTCAGGTTGTCGCGGAGCTCCTCCTGCAGCGATACCAACCGTTACTCGAACCCGATATTGTGATAATGTACGTACTTAGAGATATTAATGATTTCTTATACAAATGTGTGTTCATCGCGGATCGTGTCTACATTCTCCTACCTAGAAGATTTGTCTGGCAAGTCTATGTTATAGAGATAATGTTCTTGAAGCGGTGGCTAGTAATAAAAACCATTCATAGGAGTAAGCGGGTCGAGCCATTCGTTCCGAGGATGGCGGTCACAGCGAAATCTTAATCACAGCTGAATCGGCGTATGTTGTGCAGTTCCATAAGTCTGGCGGCTGGCGGCTGGCGGGCGGCCAGGCACGCCGCTGCTTATTAGGCTAAGCGATCACATGTACACCGCATATTTACGCGGGACCACACACCTCCGTTACCGTGCTGACTCTGCCGCCACACACACATATACATACAGACACATTGTCATAGCTGTGTGTGACTTATGCATATGCAACTGTGAAACATTATTTTAAAAGTAACAAAAGTGAATAAACTGACTTTGTTATACACAATTTTTGTATCGATAAGCAAGTCTAGTAATGTCAGTTTGACGCTCGCTAGTTGTACGGGATTCCCAGGCAGATGTCGGTCAACTGTCACGTGACTACCGACTGGCTGGCAATATCAAATCAAATTCTTTATTTCAAGTAGACCACAACAGGCACTTTTGAACGTCAAGCAAAAAATATATCATAAAGTTTAACTTTTATGTGTCAGTCTGTCCGTCTGGCCTCTAGTGAAGCTATTTGCTCGTTCCAAAGTGTAGATTCCTATGGAGAAGAACGAGCAACAAACTCCATGATAACTCTTTTTCAATCACTTTTTACAATGCATTGTTACATAATTTTGATAGTTCCATTATGTGAGAACAGTGTAATATTAGTGTTTAACCAAAGGATCCGAAAAAGAAATGAACCTCAGGGACAGCAACTTTAGACAGTCTCGATTTGACCAGTCCGTTCACGAACATGACACGTACACCAGCACCGCCCAACTCAACCATATTATAGGGAACCGAGCGGTCCAGTGCCCGTGCCACCGCCAATGAGACTCCTGAGTGAGCATGACAACTCCCAACTGACACAAGTACCAATATACTATAAGTCTTACTCAATTATAATAAATTAAGGGGCTCTCGCATTTACAAAAATCCAGTTCATCAACAATTAACAACATGGTGAATAATTAAATAATTGAGATCAAAATTCCTCTTAACCTTAACAATTTTTATCCTGTGCAGTCGAACCAGCCACCCTCCAAGCATTTTTATCCTCTATATAATCATTTAGTTTATAGTATGCTTTCCTACATAATACTTTCTTTATACACAATTTAAATTTACTTTCATTAAGATTTTGTATTTCACCTGGGATTTTATTATAACTTTTAACACATAATCCCATGAATGACTTATGCTAATCTAAATAAAGGCTGACTTAAACTATTTCTATGTCTAGTAAGATAGTCATGTTTGTCAGATACTTTTACAAATAGCAGTAGGTTTTTCCTAACATACATAATGTTTTCATAAATATATTGACATGGTACGGTCATATTATTAATGTTGATCTCCTTAAACTTTTCTCTGAGAGATTCGCGACGACCTAAGTTATAGATAGCTCTGACGGCACGCTTTTGTAAGATAAAGATAGACTCAATGTCGGATGCCTGTCCCCATAACAGAATTTCATACGTACATGATGCTGTGAAAGTAGTAAGATTTCATAATACGGATAAGTTCACTTTAGGGTGTAAACTGACGGGAATTAAGATATCAAAATAAGCCCCTGTTTTATATAGTAAAATCCTAAATATGTGATTGAATCTACTCGGATTAATTGAATCATTGTTTTATTTAAAGAGGCGTAGCTCCATTCCTGCATGTTAACTTCGGTCAGTCCCACACAAAACCACAAAAAATATTATCAAGGCTAGCTGGGAAAGTTACTAAGTAGGTGTACCTACATTTCATGGATTGATTTAAAATGTAAGTGTGTGTGTGTCGCTACATGTAACGCGTGACCCTAATAGGGACTCGTTAATTTCACATAACTGGCTCCAATAGGAGATCGCTCGTTTCGTCCTTCAACAAAAAAGGTTGCGAAGGTAATGTCATTACAAATTGAAGCCAAGTCCGCTCGGGGTCAGAGCAGCCCCGGAGGGGGCAAGTGAGAGGGGGGCCATTAACGAATATCTCCGTTTAATTAGCGACGTTTCCGGACGGTAATTGCATTTTAAATTGTCGGGAGTGTTTGTTATTTCGGCGCGGGCTGATTACGTGCACATTTATCAATCCCGACGTGGTCATCAATCCGCGCGCCCCGCAACCGCCCCGCAGCCGCCACGCAGCCGCCCCGCAGCCGCCGCCGCCGCTGACTTCTTATACTTTTTGCTGTTCACGTGTCCACTAAGGTGTCACATTACATGTGACAAAAAGCGAGCATCACGCGCGTGGGTTGATTGCATTATTCTGTGTAGGTTTAATAGCAACATTTTATTTGATGAATCATAATTTGCACTAATAATTCTATGGTTCTGCATAGTATCTAGCAATATTTTTTACAGTACTTAGAAATGCAGAATATTTATCTAATCATTTACGAAAGATTTGTAGATATATAATTATATGTCGAGTAACAATACACAAGCATCTCTGACATGTTTGTGTAATACAAGGAAAATGTATACTTTAATTTCTTATGACTTGCGTTTAAATAAATTATGTTAATCAGGTAAGTACCAGGTTTATAAGCGCTTATTTTCAGAAGTATTATTAAACCTTTACTTAAAAAATATACTACTTATTTAAATTTTTAATATTTATAACAAAAATATAAAGTGATTTACAAGTTATCGTAATATTAAAACTGTTTTAGCAATAAACCGAGTAATGACGGCCGCCCACTGGAACACTCCGCGCGTTCGAGCGCCAGCCTCGTGGCGGCACACCAAACCTATTGCAGTGTTGATACCCGCAAAAAGGTATTTCTATGAATATAATTTCTTTTTATTATACTACTGTAAATACATACATAAGAAAAATCAAGTAGAGTGAAACATGGGTCACTACTTCAGCATAACATGATACAAAATGTATTTTCAAAACACATTTGTATAGCATAACGTGACTTACATCGATCTCTTGATAACCCTAGCATAGGGACTGTTTTGTTTGCGGCGGGAGAAATATCCTGCTATTTCTCCCACCGAGAGGTCTTACTGACTAAAAAGTACCCCGTTCCTTGGCCTACTCCAGGTCGAAATAAAGAACAGCTAAACTGTAGTGTGTGGTATCATACGATACCTGTACATAGTGGCCGTGTCACACATACATACATACAGTGAGACTGACAGTAGATGTGTAGCGCAGTATGATAGGCAGAGGTCGCGCACGTGTTTGCACATAATCCGATCCCACTTACATGCAGTGTAGCTGCTCAGTGCTCGCAGATAGTAATTGAGCGTCGCTCGAGGGTTTGCTAAACACAAAGCTATCATAACGCTGTCGGCTAAGTGGCCGGCAGCCGAGCGGCGCGCTGTTTGCGGCTATATCGTGCGATCCTAAGCTATCTTCTGCGCTGCGATACAATATTACTCACACCTGAACTCCTGTACTGCTTCATAAGCTTGCTAATATACTCATGTTAACCATTTTACACCAATAGAGAAATAAAGGTTTTGTTCTTTCTAGATTCAAAGCTTATATCAAGGTACATAGGCGTGGATGAGCCACGTTTCTTTTGGCTCGAATGGAGCAGCCCCACCGGAGTGCTACCATGACCACACATAAAATAGGTGTGAAAACTACTGCGTTGTGTTTCCCCATGCGAGTGAGTAGGTAATTCTTCCTCAGGCGAATTGCAATCCTGGCCCACAGCCTTGACACTGCCACATCACAGCCAGCACTGGCTGGTTGCACAGTCTATGGTCCATTCACTACGATACCCAATCGCATTTTTCAAACGAACTTCATGTAAAATAAATAGTAAAATGGCTGTATTTAGCCGTTCATTAATATATGGAATTTTATCTTGGTGTACGGGTCTAGGTGTAACGTGTCTGTGTATGTAAACGCACTCACAAAACGTAAAGAACCAGCGTGGGCGCAATGCACATAAAAAGAAGTTAAAAACAATCCGAGTTCGTGATAGGTATACCGGTTGGTCATAATAAGGGCGGCTCCAAGTTTTATTGTCTAATTAGACGGTACACTCGCGATTTATTACGTTTTAAATTATGCATGAATGTGCTTAATTTTGTCTGGCCGTTGCAAATGGTGGCCGTTTTCATTAAGAGTTGGAGCTCGCAAATAAATATCAATGAAATAGCGGCGCGTCCTGCCGCGCTTCCTCACTAGTCATACGACCGCGTCGCTCTTTGCTTTATGTCAGATGTTATATTTTAATTTTATTATATTCGAATTGTTGTTATTAGGACCCGCCCGGTTTGTTTAATATTGACATTGAATCACTTCTTAGTAAGCCTTCAGGAGAGGGGCGCAATCATATGCTATTCGTATGCACACATTTGGACGATTTATTAGTATGACGTGTTACTTAATAAAGATAAGAAGTCCACCTACTACTAAAATAGTTAGGTTGTCATGATTATTATAGGAGTTAATTAATTTCTTCAGCATCACCTACAGCAAACCGAGCTACCAGGAAATCATAACACGGTGGGTATCTGGTAAATGGATAGTAAAGGTGCTGTCACGGTAAGTATGGTGTTACCAATTATAATTTTAAAAATATTAAAGAAAATAAAGAAATGCTTTTTAATAAACATTTCTCTCAGAGACGACCGCACTATGGGAAAATCGCGTATGTTCCGTCTCAAAACTCCGTATCTCAGTTATTTCAAAACTAAATGGTCTGTAATTTTGCACACATATACGTGAAAGTACAAGGTTTAAAAGAAAAAATAACAATTTTGAAAATTATGTTTATTAATTTATTTAAAAAATAAAACTTAAAAAAATACATGCATATATAAGAATTTTTTTTTTTTGTAATTTCTTTACATAAAATAGAATTAAATATCATTGTATAAACAGTGTCTAACGAGAAAAAAATAATGTACAAAATTCAACAAGCTCCTACAGATTTTCGTTGACAGCAAGAAGGGACTTGGCTTCATCGAAAAGTTCTTTCGATATTGTTTCTGAAGTATTTCTCAAACTTGATATATATGGATCAGAAGTGTATAATAAGGTATGGAACACGTCTGTATTGGTAGCCGCTCTTGAACACTTTCTAGAATGATGAAGTCTAACCTTTTTGTAATCCTTGTTGTGGGATTCTTGAGCGTCTTCGGACAATTGTCCTATAGGTAAAATAGCATAGTACTCAATGATTTTTTCTCCGTGAATAAGTATTTTATGTACGGAGGAAGGCATATAATACCAATTATAAATATTTACGTACAGTTGGGCGGTACTATATGCGTATTCACCGAACTTTTTTGAATCAATAGCCATTCCAGATGACATAGTTTGTAGTTGTACATACGTTTTATAAGTTCTACGTCTACACCTGTAATGTCTGCAGAGCAAGAGTATTTCTGAAAAAATCTCCTAGCTGTGTTTCCGTCATTACTATTTCCAGTGATTTGTCGAGGTTTATCGATATGCAGTCCCATTTCCTCCCTAAACCGCTTTTGTACCAGTTTTTTCTTTTCGTCTTTGTTTTTTTTTATTTTCTGGTTTAGTGTCTGACCACTTTTGGAAAGAAAAGTTATAGGAAATGTGTAAAATCATCTCCATACTTCTAATCCAAGCGTGTAGTGTTAACAGTCCATAGACCATATTTTTATCAAATATGGTGGTCAAAACTATATCAAAACCACAAATAACTATTAATAATTCTCATTACTGTAATGAACATTTTATCAATTTGACCTTAATACATAACAGATGGTTATGTGAGAAGTAAAAATATATTGGAAAAAAATAAAAAAAATACCTCGCGATATGTTTTGGCTCCGTGTCAGAAAAGGCGCAAGTATGCGCAACTTTTTTTTTCTCCTTGTTTAAACTAATGTATAAAGATCGTAATACAACAAATACCTTGACAGCGGCAAACAGCGGCAAACGGGTAAGTCTCGTTAAAAAAAAAGTAACCCGAAAATTATACCATCTTAAACTACATTGGTTAATTTTAATTTATTTATTTATTATACATAATATTATTTAAGAAACATTAAGAGGAGATTATAAGCATTCCAAAAATGTATAATACTTATACATTTATATCAAAAACTTTCGAGTAATGTGGCGTTGAATTGTAGTAATGTATTGTGCCAAAATCACATCATTGAACATGAGTTAGCTTTGATGCTTTTTTATATACATCACGGTTAGCAAAAAATAATTTAAAAAATATAGAAAAGAAAGCTTATTTATAAGACTAAATTAATTAATTAGTTTTACTCCATAACAACGACTTTCACGTGAAAGGGTTTTGAGACGGCCTTGTATGGGGCTTTCCCATAGTGGACCGTGACAAATGAAACAAATATTACTGTTCGTTATACATAACTCTATTTATAATTTATATGTCACTCTTTACAGATGTCTACGCTTTGTTGCCAGACCACATGTTTGTGTACGTTGTATATGCCACCGACTGCAACTAACAAAAATGTAGTGACCAACATTATGTACAGTGTGATCTTTGCAGCACGGTGCATGATTGGAGCAGTAATCTTCATACTTCTGGTATACAATTAGCGTTAGAAGAAGCTATTAATAATTAAATTTAATATAGCGCACTGCGTAACTGGTCAGGCCAATGTAAAATTGTGAAGTAAAACCTATAAAATACGTAAGAATTGCAATAAAAACAATCGCAACCGACTTGAAGCCATCAAACCAATGAAAAATGGAGGCATTCTGCTGAATTCAAATGGACCTTTTGTTCCATCCTAATTAAATTGCCTTGCTCTTGCTTCATCGCTTCAAACGGCAGGATTACCGGCACATAGGTGCACAAAGGTGCATCAAAACATTCATTGTAATAAAGTGACATGCCGTTGTGTGAAGTAAAGGTACTATATGTAGGTATAGCTTTAGAACAATAGTTTAATTGTTTAGTTATTTAAATAATTAGTCATTGTAACAGGTGACCGTATTATCCTCATACCTCATTACTGAGAATATCACATGATTATTATTTAAAATAAATTGCTCAGTACGTGCGCAAGTACTTTGTCATTGCATTGCGCTAAATGTTGTTTATCTGAAGTCATAATTTTAGAACAAATCAATTAAATAAACAATTAATGTAAGTTATACAATTCAAGCAAGTGACAGACAGCAAAGAAAGATGAAAGAAAATTCGTGTCTCATAGTTTTAATTCTGTAATATTGATCAACATTTTCGCCTTACAAAACCTAACGCCCCACTAGCGCCATCTCGTGAGCAGAGTATGTATTACAATTACTAATTATTGCAAATCGTTTAAGTAGATGTGTAGAATAAATTTATTGTGCATCTTACAATGCTTGCAAAGGAGTCGTCCTCGTCTTACGATTTTTTTCGCTTTGTGTTCCGATTTTAATGACACGTCCCACTTATACGTGCTGTTATTAAAAAGATAGCATTATGGTTCCCCTCCTAATGATTAAGTGCAGTAGAGCTGCAGTGCATAAGACACAGTGAGTGTGTCCCCTGCAGGTGACGCGCGCCGCTAATGAGCCAGTTCCGCTCGCACGCGGTACCGGCGCACTACTGCCATACACATGGGGGAGTCACAAACAAATGCTTTCATTTTTCTAATTAATATCTTTGATCCATTTGCTTAATGATGCCCAGGTTATGAGTATCATCATTAGCGTGTCAGTTTCAAGAAAAGAAGTAATACTTATGTGAATTTAATCTTCGAGTAAAAAGGATGACCACATATTGTAAATGCTGCCTGCTCCGTGACCACACCGTGTTGGAGTCGGACAGCGAGTGCCCCCGGGTACTGGCGCGCGGCGGCGAAGATGTCGCTCCGTGCACTGCGCTGTACCCGCTGTATATATTATTAACTGTGCGACATGCGAGATTTACTGCGTCCCAACGAGAAGTTTTAAACACTTTATCTCGCCGAGGATCCTCTTTAAGGCACTAATTCGGAGATACGAATGCACAGAGAAAGGAATGAGAGGAAACCACTTTATTTTAACCACAAGGAAAATAAGATTTATATAGTTCTTTCCCTTGAAGCACTGAATACTGCAATTGCATTATTTAATGTTGAGGGAAACAAGAAAGCCGGGGGAAGTGGAAATACCCAGCTGGGTATCTTTCAGTTTCAGTTTTTAAACAATATTTAGCAAAGAGCTGGTGTTTAAGATGATGTGGTTATGTAGCGAAAATAAACTACGAGGCGTGTTATGTTAGCAGGTTCGGGTGCAAGCGACAGGCGAGGTGCGCGGCTAATGCACTGGCTGCAGCTGGCCGGGTGCCAGCAGGCGCCGGGCCCGCCTGACCCCACCTCGGGCCCCGCGGCCAGGAATGTCCAAATTACACGCCGACACTTGCCGTAATCAAGTCAGTTGCTTTAAACGCGATTTGAATTTTGTAATTAGAACTATATGGAGTCTGACCGGCACAACTTTACGTCTGTCTGCCTGCCATGGATTTTACGACGTTTTCAATTAAAACTGGCCAGAGAAGTTCTGGCGAGACTCTTCTACAAAGCTGCTGACTTCTCATAACAATCAGCAGTTCCATTAAGTTCGTTATTGGCCACGATTTACTGATTTCTGTAATCGCATGGTATCGGTTTTCATAACATAAACTTTAGATACACATATATCAACTGCTTAATACAGTGGTCACGTATTTCTTATTTTTCTTAAAAACTGGAAAAAATAAATTCAGATCATGCAGTACATATAAAATAGGGTCGAATTGAGAACTTCTCCTTTCTCGAAGTCGGTTAAAATAATTAATGAAGCCATTGTGTGTACAAAAATAGAGGACATTAGTATATCACTTACGGCACGGAACAAAGTTTACTAAACAATTCTCATATGTATGAGTTCGCTGGGAAATCGTATTTAGCTGCTTAATGAAACCGCATACCAAATTGCAAACCTTTGAAATCCTGTTAACAACTTCAGCAGTTCAGCGGAGGCACTTATCCTTGTATACCGGTCTAATATAGTTCAAACTAGTAAATTTCCTAAAGCCAAGCGAGTCCCGGCTTAAAAGCGGCTAAGTTTGGAGCGAACTAAACTCGCAATAGAATAGCGACGACGACAGTGCGGGGGGAATGGTAGGGGGGGGGGAGCGGTAGGAGGCGAGGTACGCGGATATTTCAAATCTGTCGGAGTGTTTAGCGAATGCATTAACCCGTCGGCGCACTGCTAATTAACCGCCAGTCATCGTCACAGCGCGAGCAGGAATGTCTTGCTTCGCTCCACACATTGCAGTGGAGGGATTGTTAGGAAGTTACACTGCAATGTGAGCTGCCACCAGGGATGTCACTTTCCAGGTGTCACGACGGCTACAACGAACTCATACGATAGTGCTTAAGCGAATGTTTTTCTTTTAACAAAACCAATATGACAATACTTGAAAAAACAAAAGATTTTTGACATTTCTTTGGTTAGATTCTAGTAGTCAGTTAATAAAAGAAAGAAATACATAAGTGAACTAGACATTGTAATTGACTCACTCGTTACCAAGGGCTTGTCCATCCAAGCTCTCAGTCAGTTAACACGTTTGAAACCTTATCCGTGTTACGAGCAGTGTACGGGGTCACGGTATCGTGTCTCCAGCTAATAGTGTGGCGAGTGGCGCGGCCCAGCCAGCGCTCGCCGGCAGCAGACGACGCGCAGTGATTTACGCCGATATTAATAACCAATCGGCGGCTCGTGACACCGACGTCATGCCGATGGAGCCCGGCTTACTGCTGGCGCTCAACTGTCTAGCGCCTAATGGGACGTTCAAATCTTGCAATGATACGTGGGAATTAACATTCGTTGGGGACTGTCAACGTTGCTGTAATTCGACACATTCACCGGGAACATTGTGAAATATCAAACGGGAGAAGTTGGGCAGGCGACCTGTTAATAATGCCTTTTATCTGTAATAATTGCCAGACTTGCAAGTGCAACCGCAGTTATATGCTGCGGCAGTGGCCTGAAGCAGGAAGAGGAACTGGGTAACTTTGAGTCGCATAGGGAATGCGCCCCATCAATACCGTGAAAAGTCATTTAATGATTTTCATTCTAAATTTTTAAGCGACGCTACGTGAAGCTGCGTGATCGGTAGATGTAACATATTCTCTTAGCTCAGCGTCCAGCGATCGAGCTCAATGTGTAGTGAGTGGTACTGGATGACAGCCGAGTCCGGGGATTTATTCATGATTGTATTCATATCCGATCCTCTATATTATTGCAATAGAAACAGCTGCCATCAACGTTAGCCAAATGTGAGCCGAACTCTTTTTTAGGTTTGAAAACAGTCAATTGGAAAAAGTATCGATCGAGTGTTTGAATATGATTGAATCCAAAGCAAGGTCAACTGGCTTTATTATCAACGTTGTATTAATTTAAATTTGCAAAAGCACCGTTTAACTTCGTTGGTTTAAGAAAAGGTATACGTTGGTATGGAAACAAGTTGACGTGTCCAGACTACGGTGGACGCGACGATGTCGCGATGGCATTATTGTGTGTGTGAGCAGAAACAGACGAGGTACCGCACAAGTAGGTGGGAGGCCGACATTTGGTAATTACACACAGGTGGACGACGACCTTCACATTGATACGCATTACGTCACCTGGTAACATGACGCTGGTTGTATCCTATTCATTTCACAAATTGATTTGTCTGCAATCTTCCATCGAATGATGAAAAGAGATGTCTCTCGAGAGAAGATTTTTCTCTCTCAAGACAGAGAGAACAAATAGTCTCAAATTTTATGTATATAATTATTAGCTAGCAGCGCCTATATAATTGTCAAATCAGCAAAAATCTACACATTTTAATATTGACTATTAATGACGGCTGCTACTGCTAAACAGATTACGTAAATTAATGACTTTACTGTGAGAACAATTAACTTCGTCACACAACACATCGTACACAAGTGTAAACAAGCACATTCTTCAACACAAAAAGCGTTCCTGTTGTCTATTTGAGGAGCTCGAGTCGACATTATTACGAAATTAATTAACTTTGAAATGATATTGGAGATGAATATAATGTTCATTAAAGCTTATTTGCGTATCGGGTATCAGTGGGAACGCAAATAGAGCGGGCAAACAATACGCCGCCGGCACAAGGAGGCGCACGGCGCGGCCTCCGCCTCGCTAGTTTGTTTCATATCAATTTACAGGACGGGATTGGGCTTGGGTTTTGCTTCCACAATAGTTATCTGCAATAACCTCTTCCCTATTTAATTGATGTATTTCACACTGTGTGCTGTGTTTCATGATCAATTACAGTTTATATAAGATTTAGAAAGGATTATTATTACCGGTCAATTTTTTCAATCCGGGTATCTCAGGATTTCACAGTTAATCTCGAGATCCCGAGACGTTCCGGGATACAAACTCAGTAGCGAAAGGAAGTGGTTAACATATTATTTTAATTTTTTTGTTCAATCTTCAAAAAGTATTACAATTTTATGTTTTCTTCTGATAAAATAAACAAATAATTAGGTAAGTCAATTATGAAATAATTTCATAATTTATTACTTGGTTTAATTTTTTACTTTTATAATATACTAAAAAACAACTTAATACCTTCGTAGAACTTACTTAGTATTTACTATATAAAGATCATTTATTATGCTAAGTGATTAATATTCATAGAAACTCAAATTTAAATTAAATAGACATTACACAATACTTATTAAAGACTTCCTGGGTTTAATAAAACCGAAGGAATAACAGCGCATCTAACGACACGTCCAAAGCATACTTCTCAATTTGTTGCACATATACGAAGAATCGGAATCAGAGCGTTCAGGCTTCATGAAAGAGAGAAGTTTTCTTCAAATTACGACCTCAAAAATATTTTTTTATTGTGTAGAACGGCATATAAGTCAGGATTACTTATATGCCGTTCTAGTCAGGCCGCCCATTAATGTAATAACGAAGTTACTAGTGCGTTGCCTACCTTTTGTGGATTAGGGTTTTGGAGATTAAGGGATTGGAGGAGGTGAAGCATTGGGCTTCCTGTAACCTCAATCACACGGCGAAACACAACGCTGTGGTTATTTCACGCTAGTTGTTCAGTGAGGCCGTGGTCTCACTCCGGCCGAGCCGACCTATGCACCGAAACATGGCTCTCCCATACGAAAATTTCTTATTTTTGGATGTTAAAAATATCTTCATAAAGTAATATAAAATGTTGTACATTTTGTTTCAATATCAAACCAGTTTTACTGATTCTATGCACCGGTTAATTTCACGTCATTATCTTCGCCATCATTGTTTTCCATCCTTGCAGTTAAAGAAATATTATTTCGATATTGCTTGTTAATAACTCCTTAACATCACAATCAGCATCCAAATTGTGTGAATATAAGCGGGTTTTGTTTCACGAACATTCATGTTGACTTCCGTCCTAGGATAGAATCCTCTAGTTACCCATCATCAGTTGCAAGCCACGGCTTTCTCCCCACTTCCCACCAAACTCGATTGTTCTCCGCGAGGAAAATGTTTACTACGATCAGTTTTATTTATATTCTACGTATTGGTGGCAAACATTGTTCCGTTGAAGAAAAACTTGGAACACTCGATTTAAAAATATCGATGTCCCAGCTAGTAGGAATAGACATTGTTAGTTTTTGTGTAGGAATAAATCGTTGTTTGCTTTAATTTACTAGAGGTTCACAGGTTCGCGCATTATTGACGCTAAGCTGTCGAATGTCAGCACACATTACATAATGCCGTACTGTGCTCACCTATCGACAGATCAGGGCGTCAACCCTACGACGTATGTATGTGTGTATTCATATTGTAAGACGCTAGTGTGTACATCAGTTGCAGGAACTACATCTTTTAGATTTAAGAATAAGTTTTACAATAACTAACATTCAACAATGGTGAAGCGGTGCAACAAATGCTGTTAATAAATTCGTATAGGATTTCTTTCAGTTGTAGAGACAGCAGGCAGTGTTGCCTGCTCGGTATGCAAGTGTTGATGGCAAGTTGCTCTCTTCCAGTATTATGTCACAGCTCACGTTTTTAGGCGGAGGGTACTTCCTCGGCTCAACTTATGTTGGTGTTGCTAATTAACACCTCCTGCTGATCAATGCAGCAACCTTACGTCATTATCTTTTAGCAATATTACGAGTAACTGCATGTCGCTTGCACATCAAGCGGGAATGTTACACTTGAGTGACATCGCTTGATTGTCGTTGAATAATGAATTTGTAATAAAATTAGTTTCTTTTGCAGTGAATAATGAAATCAACAGCTTAGAGAGGAACCGCTCAGCAGGCAGGTGAAATATGATAGGATAGCAATACAATTATTATTGAAGTATCAAACGCCTGGTATTGTTCATAGACAACATATAGGATTGCAAACTAAACAATGGCCACACGAGTATTGTTCTGTAAGTGAGTGACACGTGGTGTTTTTATCCCGAGTCCCATGTTAACATCGACACCGTCATATATCTGCGTGACGTTTCCGCTTCCCGGCGGTTATCGATGGAGTGTCGCGGGATTGATGGCCGGTCCCACCGAGTCCCGCGACACGCTCCGCGACCCGCGCGCTCTGGCGCCACACATCACTTGCTACGCTGCGTGAGCACCAACCACTTGTCCTCGGGAACTAGCAGTGTCAAGTGTGTGCAACATACTCACTGCTGAATGGTTATAGCTGGGACCTGATTATCTCCAACCGTGTTCACATTCAGTTCCACTTTTATTTGAAGGGCTGTTTATGGACAAAACCGACTGAATAACTCCGCATTGTATACAAATCCGCACTGACTGTCAGTGTTGTGTTCTAGATAATATGGAGTCGGTGTATTACGTGCTAGTGTATGTTAATACGACGGGTCGTTGAGCCCCGGCCCGGGGGAAATCGACAGCTGTCACAAAAGTTGGACACTTGTCGCCGCGTGTGATTGTGTTGCGGCAGTGTGGACGCGCCCTAACTGTGCGTGACGTCACCATTCAGATGTGACACGCGATTGTGTAAGAGTTGTTGTCATCGATAACGATAATAGTTGACGTCGACACGCGGGACGCGCGGCTCTGCTACTACACTATCTACACTACATACATGTTCGTACTTCAACGACGTGACGAATTCATTTGTATTGCTTCAGCATCTCTTTTGTTCAGGCATATTGACGTATATACATAATATACTTGACAATTAAGTATAAATAGCAACGAAATTCTGCCGTATGTCAGTATTTGACATAAAATAACTGTAGATCTGCCTTTCCAAACCCGTCATAAGGAATACCCATACACCATGCGTTTCTCGCTAGATTGGTTTTCTAATCGCTACCTGTATGATTGGTTGACTGCGGGACAGACTGGAGGGCTTGTGAAAGGCTTCCAATGGAACTAAATCAATCAATTCTCAATCTCCTAACAATCTTCAAATGTATCGAATTACCGGGAGAATATTGAAACAACTCGTACAAGGCGGGCGTCTCGAGTAGCACCAATCTAATGTCAGATCTACGGCTGAGCATGGCTGAGGTTGCCCCACGCGTTGCCTCTCCCCTCCCCTCCTCCACAAACAGTCTGGTATTGTATGTGACAGATCTTGTTTCACCGCGGTTGTTATCAAATGGGTCGAGGAAAATTGCGAATTAAAACTTCTTGAATTGTTGTTGTAACAGCAGAGAACGAAAACTTAAGGATTGTCAGTCCCGGGTTCGGCAAGTCTCTCCCGTCACTAACTATAAACATTATTTTATGTATTTGTTTGCTGCGTTACAACTAAATAAGTCCACAGTTGTCACCCTCGAGACTTGTCACAAATTAATCTACAGTTGAGTTGACAAATCCTTGTACCTCCAGCGAGGTGCAAACAAGTCAGCTTGATCGCGGCAACACTTTTTATTAATGGCGCAGGAAGTGCAACTCATCAGCCCAAGTAAGTCGTCCGCACGTATTTTGTTCGGCCGAAGCAAATAAAACATTGAACTCTCTGAATAAGGTAACACATTGGCTTGAACTTTTTCTTGGAGGCTCATGAAACATTCCTCATCCTCTGCATAATTTCAGAAAAGACTATGGTGTCGAATTTGAGCGAAAGCGTGCGTTGATAGCATACTACTATTGAAAAACGTATTTATCTTTCCGCTACGCGTTCGCGTAGTACTGTGCTACGCCGTAGCCGAAAGTAAAGTGTAGCACTAAAAATTTACATGGGGCCCCGGGCCTACCATTGTAAGGCGAACACATTAAGGATTTTAGCGTGCTACTTTTTATTGCATTTCAATAAGTCGCGATATAAAAGTTCGGCCGCTTGTTTCCAATTTAAGAAATTACATATATTAAAACCACCGTCCCGCCCATTGGTTTTGATTATGAACATTGTAACTGTTAATTTAACAAAGGTACCAACCATAAAAGTGCAAGTGTAAGTTAAAAAATTTTTTTGTTACAAAAGTTATCAGTGTCTGTTATCAGATCGCTAATTCTTATCGCTCAGACACGAGGCGCGCCGCCTGCGCCCCGCGAAGAGTTGCGACTCCTTGGCTAAATTATTTATTCGTCTATTTTCCTGTTTACTTTCATTTGCATTTAAGAAAGCAATTTCGGCAGTCATTTTGGGCGCCAACGAGTTGAGTTCCCTGTGTGTCGAGAATATTGTTTGCACAACCTTCTCTTCACGGGGAACTTCAAGTGTTCGCGACACAGACTCGTTACTGCGGATTGTTTTACAATTTTTCCTGGAAGCAATTTCTAATGCTTTTACTGAGAGAATAAATACTCGATAAAGAGACATTATAAAATATGTTCTGTTTTATCCAGAGCACGATCTAGGTTGTGCTGTCAGTGGGTGGCGTGTGTGACGTGTGATAACATTCGTTAAATGGGTCGTGTACGTTTGTCACAGGATTGGAATTGTAACAGAACATAATTATTACATAATGCACGCAAAGTGATTGCAAATTGAAGCGAAGCGGGCGTGATTGACCGCTGACGTGGAAATGGTCACTGCGCGCCGCGTTCTCTGCTAATCAATATTTACAGTTGGATGCAAAGCGCTACCCTGACAAACTCACTAACATACTACATATATACATAGTCTCACAGACCGCATCTTCATTTATACTCATATAATATATTATAAAGAGGGAGGGTTTGTTTTGGATTGAATATGCTGCGAAACCACTTGACTGATTTGACAATTAATTCCACTGTTAGGAAGCTACAATATCGTAGATGAGCATAGTCTTAATTACGCAGGTGAAATTGCAGGGCACAGCTATAGTACCTAAGGCATAAACTATTACAATATCTGAAATACTATCTAACCCTTTTTATTAGTGTGGGTTCGTAAACCATGCAACGCTACGCAAGTGTACTATGAATTAGGTGCACCAGTTCAACAAAGCAGTGTCCAACTCCTGAGTAGTTTTTGTCCAATAATTCATATTTAAATTAATCACCATACTGTATTTTTTACAATACACTTTTTTAAGTAAATCGGTAAATTAATAATCTACATATTTCCCCAAATCCCTTAAACTCCCAAATCCTTAATCCCCAAAAGGTCGGCAACGCACTCGTAACTCCTCTGTTGTTGTCTATGGGGGGCGCTGATTGTTACCATCGGGTAATAATAGCACATAAAAATGAAAGAAGAATTATGCTATTGCGTCAAAGTGTTACTTGGCGCTTTGACCACACAGGAACGGCAGCGGGACGGCAGCGGGACGGTAGCGGGGCGACAACGGCACACGGGCGGCGGCGAGCGGTAACACAGCAAATATTGGCGCTGCGTTATCTAAATTGCTTGTATGAGTAATGCGAAGCTTACAGGGTAACCGCTTCATGCTTGTTTATTAACTACCCAACGTTTACTTACAAATTGATTGCTTTAATATTTATTCATCGAACAGTCGATAAAGTACTTTAAAATGTAAAATATTATTATTTTAATTAAAAGCTTTGTATTTTGGTAAAATATGTTTAGAAACATTTGTTTGCCACTGTAAGCATGATGCCGTACGTACAGGCTGGCACAGTGCACATGTTAATGCTTGCAACACGGTGACGGTGTGCATGGAGTGTCGCGGCCGGCACCGCCGCCGCCGCGCATACAATATTTATGAGCTCACCTCCTGCTTCAAGTCTCCGGTAATTGTATGCCATTAACCACAATTACCTCAGACTTAGGTCATTCAGTAAACTATTTTTGTATCAATGTCGTTTCTGCAAATTGAATATTATTATGGATCATGTAGTGACATGACTGTCGCTCAAAATATTTTAAATTGTGTCTCCCTTTTTAAAATCTTATTTTATTTTAAACTAATTATTATAAAAAAAAACCTTGTAAGGTAAACACACAAGTTGTTATGAAGGAATGTGTAATGGCACGGGAGCAGAAATGGAGCTAAAAATCACTCCATCAGAAATGTCTGAAAGGAAATTCCCGTATAAGACATTAGTGTTTATTTAGTGGCAATAGAGAGCGATCTCTGTGAACGCTATCACTCGTTTTTTATTGTCGTTCCCAACGATTTGGCTGCGAGATTAATAGGGGATAATTATGTGAGCGCTGGCTCGCAGCCAAGCCTCGCGCCACGCCCCCTCCCCCGCAACCCGCGCCCCGCGCCCCGCACCCGCACGCCAGATTGAGGAAAAACTATCAGCTGATATACAGCTGTTCATTTTGAATCATTCCAAGATCAATCAGCTGTTTATGTGATTAGTTTGAACTGATTGGCAAGCTGTTATATATTAAGCTTGTCAACAATAGTTGTTATTGACAAGGATGTCCAGTTGTTTTTGAGTTGTCGACTTTGTACGCAGGTTTTTTATGCTCACATTACCTACCCTTTTGCCTCGCTTACGTAATGATATAATTTTTATGGTCTCATGCATCTGTGTATACATATATCTGCTATACAAATATTTTTATATTGAAAGATAATTATAAATAAACCATCTAGAGTAATTGCAAAACTGTTCGCCAGTTGTCAGTTTGCAGTACGCGTCGGCCGATTTGTTTTCCTCGAGAGCAGCCGGCATTGGGATGCAGCGCAGGTTCCGCCGAGGTTTAACGAGTGCTATGTTACCGCGCTCTCGTGCGCTATCTAATGATACTTCAGACTCCTCACTGGCCGAGATTCCCGCCATGTTGTATGTTCAAATATACCGATATATTTTATCAGTCTCACTGCATTTGTGTGCGTTATTAATAAGTACAGGTCTATGTCCGTACATGTGTTTCATGTATGTAGGCGTTAGCTTGCATGGACCAATAGAATTACTAGCTAAAATATGATTACACTAACAATTTATTACGTTATTCAATTGGTGGATAAAGAGCTACTTGGGTATTATTTTCCTACGTGGTGGGTAATTATTAAGATTATTGTGATGAACGAAGTAATCGTCCGATGACGACGAAAATGATAGTTCATAATCAGGTATTACGTAAACAATCCAGCTACTTTAAATTACGAACAGTAGTCGTTTGAATACGAACTAAAACAAGTAAACGGTGCGCAATAATAATTAAAGTGAAGGCAATAATCATGAATACAGCATTCGATTATTATAACGCAGCGACGAAGAAGGCTGGCTCGGTTCCAGCACGGCTGTGCGGAAGCACGCGATTGTGACTAAATCGATAATCGATACGATAAAACTTTTATTCGATCCAATTTGAATAGAGTCGAGGGGCACGTGCGGCCAGGTAGCAGCCATATCTCTCGACGCACCGCCACGCCTCATACTGGACCGTGAACGCCATTTATGTTAAGTATATTTAAGGAGATACCGATGATACGAGATTGTGGTCAGTCACTATCACGGCTTCCGGCCTGAACTAAAACTTGCGGAGGAAACAATGCATTACTTATATACTCTTTGACCCCATCGTCAAACATTACAATTAAATTACAATGGTTTTGTGGGGCTTAGCTTATAATTAATTTACTATTGTCATATAAATTTAAATAAAAAATAATGTTCTTGGCAACTTTTATTTCGATACGTACTTTAACAGAGAATTGTGAGACTCTTTTGGTACCTACATCACCAGTGCTGTAGATGTTACGTAACATTATTCAGTTCCAACAATGCGTACAGCAGCTAAGGCACGTGTAGGTACACAGACCCAAGTGATGAATCTGAAATCACTGGCAGTGACGCAGGTGTCGTCAGCCAGATAAATCTCGGTGAGTAACGTATCGCACCGGACCGGGCCGGGTCGGGTTTAGAAGCTGCCGCAGTGTAGCCGTGCTTACGGTAATGACCGGGTGACGCTGGCCAGCCTCCAAGCAGACGAAGCTGCCAGCGCGTCATAAGCCTCACTCTGAGGTTTGAGGTTCGCCTGTCACCGGCTCGGCTACAGATTAACAACCTCTTCGACACGGATTCACTCGCATCGCATAGGCGGATATTTGAATATTGTTCTTTTGTGTGTTATATTATTGTTTTATTCTTTAAAATTGACACAAATGACATCCTCTTACCGGATGAGAAAATTGTTTTCAATTGGAGATGATACTGTTTTGTAGACGAGACCGGTTTGTTTACAAATACGTTAATTGGTACTATACTGACACCAGCACGTTAAAGTGGGAAGGCTATAAAGTACCAGATCCTTACTCCACAAAGTTAGCTCAATACCCACGATGTGAACTATTCAGCGCTGAAAGCGCTGTTCAGTAGAGTATACGTTAGACACCAGACCGCTGAGCGGCGAGCGCTGCCGGGTATTAATTACACCGGTGATCACGTGTGTCAGGATGTTCCCAACTTTGATTGGCTGTTAGTGGGCCAACGTTTTAAAACTTTATCTGTGAACTATTGACAGGGAAATATACACATGCAATTCTGAAAGAGCTGTCCCACTACTTCTAATTTTTAATCCCCATACCTTTGAAATTCTACCTTGAAATTAAAATAAATAACATCAAGACGAAAATACTTTTTCTGAACACCGAGGGTAATGCAAATACCAGAGAACTACAACAATTTTTAGGAAATGAACTCTGAGTAGCACCTCGAGGCACGAGGCGAGGCGAGGCGACGGGCTGAACTATGAAACTTGGCTGATTCTTTCCAGCTCACAAGTTGGCCGAAGTTGTCCGGTGTTTAGCTGCTCTATTAGTTACGCCTCCATAAATCTGGAGTAGGCAGGATTAGCGGCATCCGCGCCAATTAACAGCCGCCACTGACCTACTTGAAGCGAAGTTTGTTTTACGAAAAAGTGATTTATTTAGATGCAGGTGGACAGGGGTAATCTCGGTGTATTAAGGTGAATGCGAATGTTGATAAATTATGCGAATAATAATTTTGCCCATATTCAAACTTATTAAGTGCGCATTGTGCTGTTAACAGGGATACATTATCGATAGCGTTGTTAAGGTGTTTCAATATAAAGCGTAAATATTGCTGATGGGGGGTCGACAGATCATATATTACATAAACATTTTGTTTGTTAAAATATATGACATTAGTGCAAACATCCCCGGTGTACTAACACAAACAGACGGTCCATCGAAGTGTAACATAAATGTGTGTGTATGTGTAAGCCTGCAGTAATCCGATAATGCGGGCAGCGCCGGGAGTTACAGCTAGCAATTAGTGGGCAGTGATCCGCGCCCAGCCGCGCTATCTGGAGACTGCGGCGGCCGGTGTAATGTACGGGACTGCGTTACTTCGGCCGATAGTGTAACATTATTACGCCAATAATTACAGTAATCACACTTAATTACACGACGGTATCGCTTCGGGGAACCTCTTTGCTCTCACACACAAGGATCTTTGTAGTGCTTCCTAAAGCCATCTTCATGAAATCAGCACTCTCGCATTTAATTACGCAGAATACTAATTGGAAACAGTATGGCGGTGAGCAGGAAGCTCATCATAATATTTGTACCAAAAGCGTCAAACAAGTGAATATGCCAAAAATCACAATCAATCCAATGGTAATGTAGTAACACTGACCGTTATCCTCTTGAGCTGCCGCTTCCCCTTGTACCAGGTGATGACAGCAGGCGGCCGACTGCCGGCGGACTCGCACGCCACCTCGTACCGCCGCTCCGCAGTCAGCACTCCTCCCTCTCCGACCTCCGCCGGCTTCTTTATCTCCACTGTTAGTGGTCTTACTGTTGAAGACGTCACTTTTATTAGTAACCACGTTTAATATATTACCTATGCTTTATGCTCTCTAATTAAGTGCGATATTCTAGAATATTCTGAAACCTCAACGTTCTGCTCTAGCTAAACCATGAATTGACCTGGAGATCGCTTAGTAGGCGTTTAGAGCATTTCACCAGTGAAGCAATGCAATAAATCTATTTATGAATTAACGGGTTGATAGTGTGTAGTGGAAGTCTAAAGAGAATTATTAAGTCCAATTTGTGATCACAGCGTAGAACTTACGGAACATGTCGAGCACCAGCGAGAGCTCCTTGGGCGGCACGAGGTGGGAGTTTGTGGCCTGGCAGGTGAACACGGCGGCATAGTCAGCTCGTCTGATGGCGGGCCACAGCAGCCTGTTCTCGATGACGTCACCCGTGTTGTGCTCGTACTCCTCGTCCACCAGCACGCCGTTCACCAGCCACCGGACTGATGGCTCGGGCCGACCTGGTATAATGGATCAGTAAGACTTTGTTTCTATTGACAGGTGTTTGAAAGTTTTTATTAAAGATTCTTTTAAGATTAAGGAAAAGATTTGAAAATCATTGGATTCCAGACCCCTTACTAGGAGGCCACTCTATAGGAGGCTCTCCGTAGTGTATAATTTGTACTCAAATTCAAAGACTACTATTACAGCAGAAGTGGGAACAGGTACAGAAGGTCTTTGTGCTTGAAATAAAACGAAACATCTTAGAGGCTCTCGTTTTACGAAACGCAAATATAACGATTACAGTACGTCAAACGCAATTTCCAATGCTTTCATTGGTCCTCCGGTACGTAAATAAATTTCAGTGAAGGCATTCTCTTTCAGCGCAGTGGTCCTTTGTCCTTTGTTTGCTTGTTTATTTGCCGAGTGTGTGCGCTTTTGTTCGGGCCCGGACACCGCGCTCCACTATCCTTGGATCCACTTTGGCCAAATTGAATTAGTTCAAGTTTCGAGTTCTGCACGAAGATCTAATTTGAAATATCAATGGATTTAATCTGGATTTGTGTACTAAATACTCGTTTGACACGCAGTCGGATGTCCTCACGATTAGGAGCTTACAGAGGCACTGAGTGCACCGTATTACTGGCGTGCGCTTGCGAGCGCTCCGTACTGACAGCTGCCCTGATCAGACGGACAGTGAGTGTTGAGACAAAATTGTGAACACGTTATCGTTATTAAGATGGAGTGAGGAGAAACCAGTCAGTACAGGGGCAGTACCGAGCCAGTCTGAATTCTTTCGCACCAATTCGCCATGCAGCTTTCAGTCTTTTATCGAACTATCCACGCACTGACTGCAGAAAATTGATCCAATCCCTCCTTTGGTAATTGCAGAACAGGGTGAGAAGGGCTATTGTGTCGCCGCTTAATTTATCGTCGTTGCCGAAGTACCGACGCGCTACGTTTTCTAAATCAAAAGTCGTAGGGCGAGAGCTTCCGGTCGGCTTATTGTTTCGCTTGTTTTTCTCTTTGATAAACAACGTCGACGCTTCTTTGTATTGGATTCCAGTGTTTGCCATACAAACTGAGCGCAGTGGCGGCCGCCGCCCGCGCCCTCGACATTTATTAATTTGTTGAAGTCGAGGCTCGCGCGTCCGATCTCTAATATTGTACTGTGATTTCGAGCTGACAGCCTAGATTTTTATTTAAGTAAATTGTTTCGTGAGCAAGGCTTTTTCATATAGTACATAACAAACATCGCCCTATTTCGCAACCAATATGCACCGTATTATTTTCCTTTGCAAGTGTCGAAATTGATTGCGTTATCGGAAGAGGTTCGTAAAACTCGGTACATTACCCGGCGCGCGGAGGTGAGGGAGCAACAGGCTCTTCGATAAAAACTCGAGGCCGTTAGAAAACAAAGTCTCTGTCGGAGCCCCCGTCATTAGAAAGGCATCTGCGTTCACAACGATTGAATATCTTTTTTCTCTTGTCCGTATTTTCGGGAATACGCTTCAATCAATTTCTCGATTATGTAAATTTGGTGGCCTTTTGTCAACTGAAATTTTGCTGGGAGACTGTATGTAGCCAAGTAATCTTTTAAAATCCAATTTGATTAGGTTTTTATAATTTTAACTTTGTGATTTTAAATGAAATTAACATACTTTCTATGTAATAAAGAAATATTCATGAGGCCGTCTTTTATTTTGAGGAAATTATCTGAATAGCAGGAAAATAAGGCGGCGGTAAATTAATTAATTGCACGCGACATTTGTCGCTCGCACTGTCAAGTGTTCATTGTTAGCTTTGGCCGCTAGTAGTATCAGGGCACTGTCAACTAGTGTTGCACGCGAACGATTCTGTGTTTACATGAGTAGCGTATGATATACTCACGTGATGTGTCGGTACAATATTGAAACGCTTTTGAAAAGCAACTTCCGTCTCTTTAGTGATTAAGGCGTACATGGGACGCTGAATGGCACATTGCATGGATACGATACACCGCCACGTCTTAATACGAACCTCCGAGTCTAATGTTGGTCTTTGTATTTGACCTTTTGACTTGTAATTTCGTCAGTTGTATTTTTGTTATGAAATTAAAAGTTTCCATCGCGGAAGAGGAAAACGCTGGAGGCATTTTATAAATGTACAAAATACCATTTTCGGCTGTTCCGTTATAAAAATATTTCGTAACAGCATTTGTTATTTCATTCCAAGTAGGTCAAATATTAATTTGAAGCATTTTCAATTATATTAACCTGTGTTACTGTGTCAATACATCAAGCTCTGTTTATGTTGACTGCCGAATACTCTATGTTGTATATAGTATAATTATTAGCAGAAGAAATGGGAAACAAGATTTTCCTTTACGTGTCACCATTTCCATGTATGTATTTCGGCACCGTGCATTTTCATCAAGTTCCACCTCCAGAACTACCGTCCTGTGTGGGCAACCGACAGAACACTGCGCGGCTCCAGCTATCGCGAGCTGTTTATAAATCCCGATAAGAAGCGAGTCGCGGCGATAAAAGCGTTCCTATGTACCGCGCTCTAGAGGTGGGCAAACACCGCCACACTCTGCTCCTTACATTTTTATTTCAACGTATCAATATATTTCAGCTGCTGTGTTTTGGCATTCGTGATATTATCCCTACATCAGTATTATGACATTGTCGCCGGCAACAAAACGAGTTTACGAGCGCTACGGCTACGAGGCAGCAGAGCGCGACGCTTTTTTAATTCCGAGATGTAAATGAAAATTTGAAAGCCACCTTAAGTGGCACTCATGTATGCGCGGTATGTTCAGCTCTGACGTCATAAAAACAAGAAACATATTGTTGTTGATGTAGCAATACAAGCTCAGCTTCCAGCGCACGCCGCGCGCTGCCCGCCGACCGCTGAGCAGGGCGGCCGCGCGCTGCGCGCCGTCCGCTGGATTATTCAATGACTATTATCGTTGCCTACAAATGTATAATAATATGGTGAATTATTTTGAGTTTCTTTTGGAATTTACCCCAAAAGTAAAATGGCCACCAGAGATTGCATTGCGGTTATGTTTTAGTTTGTGTGAATAATATTTGAAATCGGTATCTATTGTTATAAGAAGAAAGTTTTTGTTTGTATTTCTACGTTGTGAATGTAACATTTCAAGTAATTCGTTATTATGGAGACGTACGATAATAGTGAGGATATTGAAATACACCATACTTGGACCTGTGCACTGCTCACTTTTCTGTTCAATTATTTTATTGGCACATGAGGTGGTGGCCAGGTGCGGGTTGGTGCGGGTAGGTGCGGGTTGGTGCGGGTAGAAGCGCGAGGGTGTCGTCACATTACGAGCACATAACCGCGGGATATTTACAGCTATAGCCGAGACTACGGTCATTCCCCGTAATGGCCATTACGCAGACAATACAGTTATTGTAGGAACCTGCTACGCGCTCGGAGCGTTACGTGCGTCCCGCCATAACGCACTCATCTTCAGTATTGTGCTGCCTAATGTACTACGTAAAGTATCTGCTGCTTTATTATCGCGACGCGACGTCTTACGACAAGGAACACTAATGTCGACTAAACTTTCTTTTTAATACGGACGAAATAGCTGAGCGGAGCTGGATCATCGTTGTACGCAATTATTGTATGCCTTACATAGTTCCTCACTACTTCCCTGAATGCGGTGACTCCGCGTAACGCGAGGCGTGGGCTCAGTGTGTACACGGCCGCACTGCTACATTCAATATTGACACGGTGCACTGACGTGTGTCACACTTGATTACTTGTTTGTCTCACACAATCCATTTCTCTCGATTGATTCTCAAGTGTGGTGTTGTATCATAGCAATGCGGATGTATCACACCATTCACAAATATCGTGCAATCAGCTTGACACCTGCTTATTGGTAACATGAAGAAGTAAGTGATAGTTTAATTAAAGTATTATTGTGTGTTGTCGAAGAAACAAGCGCAGCACCTGTTCCCCGGCAATTAATTAGGAATTCATCACGGCATCTCCTGGAGTCGGATACATTAATTTACAGGCTAATCCATTGTGCGCGGATCATAATTTATTAGATCTGCGTAAATTTGCGAGATGGAACTGATTGAAACTGCCGCAGGTTCGGCTAGGCCTCGCCTCACGGATTGTGTTTGGATTAATTAATACCATAAACAATGCTGGATGTATAAGACACACAGTTTCGTTCGCGAGTCAATTAATTTGTGCGCACCACCTTGAATTCATAATGCCTTGGCAAATTGTTTTCCTTGTGAAGTGAGCGCTGAGTACTTACCGCCGAGCACCCTGCAGGTGAGCAGCACGTCGTCCCCCTCCTCGTGCGGGCCCAGGGTCGTGGTGTTGATGACCCGCCCCCACCGGTCCACCACCACCGGCTTCTCCGGAGGAACTGGAAAAGAAAAGCATTTTTAAGTCAGGTTTCAAATAGCTACGTGGTAATAAGTCTATTAGTTATTGTAAATGACGTGAGTGTTATATAAATAAATGGGAGAGCAATCAGTATAATATACCAATTTAAGAACTAAGCAATTTATCGTCGCTAACTTTACTGTCGGTCGAAAAACGTAGACAGCTCGAGGCCGGCATTCCTATGAGGCAGTAATCTGGTCACTAGATGGCGCGCCTGCGCCGCAATCTATGCTTAAGCCTCTCTAAGGAGGGTTTATTCAGGTCGAACGCCACTCACGGCAGCACACGCCGCCGCCGGGAACTTCACTTTGGATTACATAAAAACGACTTCCACTTAAGTACACATAATCAATTTAAGCTTCGCTACGAAAAACTTGTGTCAAGTAATTTGTAGCATTTAACTTTACGTAAATTTAGTAATTTTCTTCTATATACCGAAGCTAAGCCGCTTCACAGAAACAAGACATTTGTAAAGTCAAAGAATTAAGTTGGATACAATGGCTTTGGTGAAAATTGTTTATAAACTTTTATTGTTCATATCACTTAGTTCAATTACTTAAAATAATATCGTTGTACTTTTTTGAACAGTTGTGGCTGAACGGTTCATTATTAAATTAACCGAAGTACCTACAGGACGCTCTATTAATTAGTGCCAGCACACAATAGTATATATTTACATGTGTGCAACTGTGCAAATTAATTAGATCAAACGTAAAACAATATCGGCCCAGGAGCCGCCGGAACCAATAGCAATTAATCAGTTCAATACAACGCAGGTGATCGCTAACAGCTCCGTCCGATTAGCATCGGCCTACCCATCGGGGTCCAGCGGCCTCGTGCGCTGCGCCAGTCCCTGTTGCAACGGCATAAAGTTCAAACTCAGCTAATCGGAACGCACCAAAACGCGTGTCTATTCCGCCACGCTGGTGGGCTATTTCGGTCGGCGCCGTTTAAAGCATCAAAGCCCAATTGGGTTTTACATTGGACACAGCGGGCTCGTCCAATCTAACTTTAGCCTCTAATACTGGACTGAACGCTTGACTCCGGTCACTGAAAACCGTTGCCAGCTTTACAACGCTTTTTATTCGGATCCCCAATTCCCCAACAAAATATGTCCTTTAGCGATCACTTTGTCAGATACAAGCTATTCATTAAATCCTCTAACAGAATTGCTCTTTCAAATTTAGGTTTATTTTATCCGGCAAGCTTCATTGTGAGAGGATTAAAGGAGGCGCTAAAGGGAAAAGTGATCAACCAGTTAAGTACGCGAGCTGCAAATTAAAACGATAAGGAATAGAAATGTTTGAAATCAATTTAAACTGATAACTAAGAGTGACATAATCTGCATTGAAATTCGTTCGACACCGTTCACAAACGGCAGAGGCTAATAGAAAGACAACAGCCTGTAATCAGATCTCGGCCCTCGAGATCGGGCTCCCTCGCAAAGTGATTTAAAGTTTAAAACTCAATTGTGAGGCGATCGCGCTTAATAACGAATGTAACACGTTCCAGGCGACCAGGCGACCGGGCGACGGACGGACAAACAACCTTGCTAAAGTTGCCGTGAAATGGAACAGCACGGCTATCTGTGCACACTGCACGTTGCGCGTTGCCCTGTATTGTGTTCACGGCAGGGGCAGCTCTTTTGAATGACATCTCGTCTCATTTTAATTCTTCTGCAATTAAATTGCGACGGACGAGATTGCTTTTCGATACCGAGTAGAATCGGCACTAAACTCGATTGTCGTAATGAGCCGCGTCGAGTCGACGACGCGGTTACTGGGAGGGATCGACTTGCTCAATTACCATGCTTTGTAGGAGCTATACGTTTGTATGTGGACATTACAGTCACATGTACTTCGTGTCGCGGATATGTTACTCGGTTATATTGTCTTGCTTAAATGCTTATTAATGTAGTCATATTATATTGTGCCATTGTTCACTTAATGTTGTTCCTTTGTAATATCAGTGTTGACCATTTGGGGACAGAAGTAATAACCGTACTCTTGGGTACAAGATTATTATTGATTGCTCGATAAAAACTACTTCTTAGTTTTACAGCAGAACTAAGTACCTTAATGAGCTGTCATGAAACAGATATCTCCAATAAATGATGTCAAGAAGATCTACTGACTGGTACGAAATATTAGAAGAGGTATTTTTTTATGGAATTGGAGACAAACGAGCATACGGATCATTTGATAGTGAGTGATCGGCGCCGCTCATGGACACCTGCAGTACCAGAGGAGTCACAGGAGCATTTTTTGCTACTTAAAAACTAGTAAGCTCATTTCTTGAAGATTTGAAGGTCGCATCGGTTCGAGAATATTGTTCTTGCTTCTTCTGTAGTATGTATGTATATACCGACAACACATTCGACAATACAGACATTGTTTCTTACGACGATAAGATTTGCGTCTACTTCGTAAATCAGTAACTGTTTGGCATCATCAGGGAGCAGTTAATAAATTTTCTTAAAACATTTAATAATTAATGAATTGTTTATCCGAGTTAAGTCGAGTAGCCACCGTCGAGTACTTGTATAAGTACGTACGAACTCCACCGTCTCAAACTGCCCAAAAGTCTATAAAATCTACATAATTGTTTGTCAAGAAGGCGTTGTAAGATATTTGGGTAAGCTTAGGGGCTAGGAACTGTCGTTTGTGAGGGAATAGCCGTTATCTTGATGGTAAGGGACAAGCCTCATCTGATTATAACTACGCACTTAGCGCATAAAAATCGTTGCTCAGTTCGCCCATACTACAAATCCTTGGAACCACATCGTCGGAAGTAAATCTCTTTGTGTTGTTTATATCACCAATTGATTTTATGATAATAATGGTTATTTGGTTAGCGAGTGATGATGTTTGAATTTAGGAATTTAATTAAGAAAATCGTCTTAATCAATCAGTTTGCTGGCGATGTATGTATAGATGCGAGCACAACACCAGAGCAAGCAGTGCGCGGCTCGCGGCTGAAGCGTGACAATTGATTGCCGAGCATCACCTACAGGAGGTAGTTTAATTTTATCGCTGACATTACCACACCCCGTGTAGCTAGCACGTACAGGGTGATGCGAATTACGACGTGCACGCGTGTTCATAAACATGGCTGACATTTTTACGCGCACCTCCCGCCTGCCAGAGTGAGCAATCGACGATTAGCATTTACATGGCATTTCTTAAGGTCACCGCTATTTACCTAGCTGTCACTATTAACAACTTCACACCAATAATTACCTACTGCTACTTTTTACTTCTTCAAAACTTCATAGTGAGTTATATGAGCCTAAAGATAGCTTAGAGTTACATTCTGTCTTATTTTTTTTGTGAAACAATACCTACTCGTATTAAAAATTTGAAGTATTTCGTGAAAATAAATTTAAAAGAGAGAACTAGCCGTGCATTTTGTTTACAAATAAATAAGAGTCAATCACACCAAACAAACTTGTTTTCCTTCACAACGCACATGAAGGTAGACCTGAAACTGACAAATGTGAAAGAAAGTCACCGCGCACTGTCTGCACGAGTGCTTACAGTACTGAAATTAACTGTCGCCTGAAAAACAAACACAATATGGACGTCGATCATTCTCACTGATTTTGATCAACTTCATTCCCCGTACTTCAGTAAACATGTTTGCCAACGCGCAACGTTTAAATGAGTAAACTGTTTGACTCGATCGGAAAAGTCGGTGTCACACATCGAGAGCACAGGCCGAGCGCTCTAATACAATTAATAAATCGATTTAATTAACAGTTGATGATGAAGCAGCCCCCATCACAGCGAACATTGATTGAACATTCCACAACTTTCCCGACAACTGATTATTTGCCGCGTCTTCGAGTTGTATTGCAAAAAGTTGGAATTTAAGCGAGACCGATCTCTGATACTGTGCAGTACATGCTCTGTACACACATACTGAACAATCTTATGCGAGAATTCACAATGAAAATGATGAACACGTGTTACGTTCATCAAATTCCTTGTTGGCGATGAGAGTAACAGAAAGCATAAATATTACTATTTTACACGCTCTGCTCAATAAAGTGCACAGTAAATAAACAACCCCCTGCATCGTTTCAGCCATCAACACAGTACTAGTGGCAAGCAAACTGCAGTGAGCACTGCGAACAGTCGTCAGGATCATTAGAGAGGTATCAGGCACGCATTAGTCACTAGGTCGGTGGCAATAAAGCCCGCAGTAAGTCTATCCCATAAGTCAGACATCTTCCAGGCTTGTTGGGGAGCAGTATATCTAGGGAACAATGCGTCTCGCGTAAATTCCGGAGCCGAGCCGTGCCGGCAGTGCCGCAGTACGGCGGCACGGTAGCACCGGCGGCTCCGGTAGCTCGAGCCGGTACACCGGCACCAAACAATTAAGCTGCACGGATACGTACCGGCAAACAAGATCGGTTAATTGATGACTACTGATTAATTGTTTGTGTTGGTGTGCGTGAGGGATGGCGAGTTCATTAGAGCCGCTGTTTACTCACGCCGCGGGATTTTTGGTCCAACTTTTTTTACCGGATTTACTTTGCGATCACAACATCCTGCAGTGGAAGACGGTGGGTTATTCGATTTTAAGTAATTTGTGTTATGTGTTTTGTACTTACCGATGATCACATTTTTCATTTACATCCTATTTATGACAATGTAGACCGAATTCTAACCAATTTTCTAGTGGAAGAGTAAAGTTAACACTGGCAACGTCAAGAATATCTGACTCACCGACTACAGTGAGGTTGTATCTGAAGCTGGTGGTCTGAGTGTTGCGGAAGTCCACCCGGCACCGGTAGACGCCCTCGTCCCGCCGCTTCACGTCGCGCACCAGCAGCGCGGCGGGCGGGGGCGATGTGGAGAAGTGCGCTCGGGGGCCGAACACCTCGGGGGCCGACCAGTGCCGGGCCTCCGACAGGTGCTTGCCGCGGACGTCGAAACTGTAACAATATAACTACATTACTTAGGGTTCTTGTATTCATACACATTAGATATTGTGAGGAGGGAAACTCTACACTTCTTAATGATGTCTTAAAACCACTAGCTGCTAGATGTTTCTTCGACAACTGTTTCCATAATAGTTGTCCAGTGATCCAAAATGACTTAATGAATTACAATTATTATAATTTAGCAGTTTGATTCCATACCGGCAACCGCTATACATATAACGACTTATACCAACGAGGTAGCTATATGGTTTAAATTCAATAACTATATACTGGTTGGTAACTAGCTCCATCAATTCACATCTAAAACCCCGTCTCAATGAAACAGCATCACACGCGGGCTGCGGCCGTCAACAGGCGCGTACAATGGCCATCAATAAAGTTTGAGAGACGGGGCGTCGTCTTGCGGTATCTGCGACAGCTACGTGCTGAGATAACGCGTGATATATCGATGATGGACAACTCGTCGGAGGTCCGAAGTAGGCCAGTGTCCGGATTTCAAACGAGATTGACGGAAACTAAGTAAAAGAAATCTTCCGACACGTTCGTTTTTCAGGTCGAAAACTAGAATATTTTTAGCTTCGTATTTTGCTACTATCGGCCCGTTAGATTTTTACCTCACATTTTTCAATGTACCTTTGTAGTTTTTGGAGTAACATTTGTTTTAATATTTATATAAACTAAAAATCGTTAGCTCATCTTGACAAATATGCCCTGCACAGTAATGAGCAATGTCGCGCAGCATCCGTGCGTTGTGCGGCCGCGGCGCGCGGTTAGTGGAGCGATGGCCGCGCCTGCCGCTGACAAAAATGTTCCCGCACTATTCCGTTCACCGACCAAACACAACTGGCTTCTATTCCAATCGTACTGATAGGATTCTGAGATACTTGGATTTTTACAATCCACCTAGATTTTAAGGCTTCCGAAATCTATAAGAAATTCTTTGTTAGCGTTCCAATCATAATATTATGTAGCGCTAGTGATTTCCCTCTGGGGTAGACGGTGTTGTTTTCCTCCAAAATGTAAAGGCGTAACATATTAAATTATGGCATGGTGCGTGACTACACACATAATACGCCTAAGAATTTGAGGAAAACATTTTTATATTCTTAAATATATTGAAACCAGAACTTCAATTTATTGAGACATAAAGTAAAGCAAGTGTTATTAAACGGTTACAATATTAGATGAATTACTAAGTTCAGTTTACATAAACTCATTCTTATTAAATTGATAAAATGTATTGTGCGAATATTTGTTCAAGTCTAATAGAAAGTGTAACACTCCTTGTCCTCCGTTATCCCAGTTACCCAATAAAAACATTTGTACTCGCTCGCAGCCGGAACATTGAATAACTCAGGCTAATTGTAATAAACTGCTGGTTCTTCGCTCTAAGCCCTTTGAATTACGTTAATAAAAACCTTTTTGAGATAAATTTAACTCTTAACAAACTCCGCTCATTCTTTTTTCGTGGGATGGCAACAAGTCGCTATGTTGGAGAGCCGCGGCTGTTGGCGGAGACATCATTAAATTGCTTACATAATACAAATACTACAATTAATGAACGATACATTCCACAAATACAATAATAATTACTGTGGAGCCGAAACCCGATTCTCTATAATTTGTGAACATTTTACGTGGTTATCGGCTGAGTAAATAATTATAATCAATAGTGTAACCTGTATAACGCGAAACATTTACTTTATGATAAATCTTCGTAGAGACGTAACAACTGAATTAATTTTAATTATCACATATTTTAAACAATATTTTGAGTTTTATTACACAATGCGTAATGAAAAAGGTGTCTTTGAATCATATACAAATGAAGCGATATTTGAATGTAAACTTTGTTCACGAGGTATTTGAATAAAAAGTCGTTTGAAGGCAGCATTATGAGATTTGTATTGTATCGGGTCCAGTGGGCACGTTATGTTCGTGAGCATTAGAATAAACAGCGCTGTATTAAGTGTCGGCCGCGGCCATTAATCATACGAAACCTCACATGCTCCATGATTTTAATGTGTAACCGCTTACGTGGAAAATTCAAAAGGGAAAGTAAAAATATAAAATGTAACGAGATACTCTTTATTTATACGTTGGAATGTTACATTTATATAAATCCGGTTATTATTTTAGTATTCAAATCGTCGCTCGGCTTTTTCATGTTTTTGATTGTAATTAATGTTGTAAAGTGGACAATTACACGTGGCCCACTAATTGCTGAACTGTTGTTGTCTGGTAATTAAATCAGTAATTACAATAAGCATAATTTATTTGGCTGTACTGTAGCTGTCGACTAGGACGAGTACGATATGATTTAGGCACACTTTTTGTGTAAAATGTACACATACACAGTACGCTGCGCATTGTTCCATCGACACGGACCAACTGTAACCTGGTAATGAGCCGGTACTGCTCCACCTGTGAACGATTGCTCGGGAGTTGCTCATCGCGTATTCTGCTCGGCGCGGAGTGTCGCTCAGCGCTCAGCGGTCTTTTGTCAGCTACGCCATTCTAATATGGCGCCGAGCATTCCTGTTCACAGTAAAACATTGTTTCCACGTGTTGAGCCCTCAGCTACAGCGACAGTTCCCGCGCAGCGTGCGCTCGACTGAATGCCTTAAATGTACTCTATTTAACTCGGGAGAATGTCTTTTTTGGTTTAACAAATCTACCTCTTATCCGTATATTATAGAAACATTATTTCGCTTATAGTGTGTCAATAAAAGAGCGAGCGTCTTACTTGAATATTGTATCTATTTATGCCTACACATACATATTTTATTATTATTATAACATAAGTACATATCGGTAATGTGTATAATTACGTCGTTTAATAGCGCGATTAAATAGCAGTTATGTGTGTGTATGCTACAGTCGTCTTGAAAGCCTCGCCCTAGTAGACGGGGCCACACGTTACATATTTCATGTTATACATTAGTAGTTAGTGGCACATACTGTTCACATGTAGGTAAATGACGGCGGCATTCGGAACGGAACTCAACAGGGCAATAATATAGCCGCTGTATGAAGCCCCCAGCACTACGAGTGCGGCACATCGCCACACATTCAGCCACGTATCAGCGCCTGCATCGCAGTATTTACGAGCGTGGTTCAATAACACTACTACTTATAAAAAACAAATAAATATATCATGATTATGGAATAGTTTGCTCCGTACTGTAATGTAGTTTGTTTTTACGACATCGTAAATGTTAACCAACTGCGCTATTGCTAAAATATTCTTCTTTATTATGAGCCGGCAACCTCTATAAAGTCCCGGTCTACGAATATAATAATGTCATTATCCGACATTGTTTGTTGTGTAACATCGACCGACACACGACACACGACACACGACACTCGGCACGTTAGCAGTCAGTACCTATATTCATCTGGTACATTAGCAGGCGCACGGCGGACACACCAATGTTAATCTGGCGCGGATCAAAATGCCAGAGCATCGATGGCGGTGCAGAGTCGACGCTCCACAACTTCGTTTAGGTTTATCAGGCAATCGGCTTAGTGGTGCTCCCTCGATTCCTTGAATAATAATAATATAATATCTTCATCATCTTGCGTGAAGCTGCGCCGGCGGCTAATACTCTCCACTTGGTGCACTTATTGCTGGGAAAGTTTGCCCAGCTTAGTGGCTCGCTCTTTATATTACACGGGAACAATGTTTCTGGTGCCAACCATTCCGAATTAAATATGTATGGAAGTGTCTGTCTATGAATTAATTACTCGATATCCAAGTGAAGTATTACTGGTATTAACATGAATAAGTCGAGGGCAGCAACCCTATATACCCGTTATCATATCTGTTTAGAATTATTAACGATTCTGAATATTTCAATGTCATTGTGATATCTTTGATTGACGAATATCATACCTATACATTCGATTAAGAAATGTAACAAATTATTGATTTCAGTATAACGATTAGGTTAATCGGAATAGGATTATTTTATTTCGTTCACTCGTCTATAACGTTATTTTGTTTCGAGATACATATAATTAACTTATGGGTTGATAGACATCAGTACACGGCACGTGCCCAGGATTCGGTCAGATGTTTTTGTCCGGGAGGTGCGAGTGCGGTAACTGGGAGCGGTGTTACTCTCCCCGCTTGTGTTTGTTTATCAAATATGGAAGGAGGTGTCACACTCATAGTTAGGCGTTCTCGTTGAATTGCAAATTTAAACATGAAGCTCGCTCGAGGCCTACCTCTCTTAGAGCCGGCGTGTCTATCGTTTCCCGCCGTCTTATTACTTTTTTTTAGTAATTCTCGAAGCTTCTTTTTACTGTGTTTCTTTTGTCAGCTAAAGTTTACGCGCGCACAGCGGGTAATTCTTTGGCAACATCGTAAATAATGTGAACAGCTCGTTCGACTGAAGCCAAACAAACTTGTTTGTTCGGTAGTAAACATGAAAGGGATATTTGGCAATGTTTTTGTCGCGGCTTGATGAAACAATTTATGCAACGTTGGTTCGTCAAGTTACGCGCTGCCATCAGCCAGCCGCGGCCCCCTACACTCCGGCCGGCACTCTTACTCTTTCTTCTCGAACTCTCACGTGACTATTCGTCCGGTCTGTAAAGTCTCGTACGTCTAACATTGCCGTGGACTATCCTGTGAGTGGATTTCAATGACATTTGGCATTGAGATTATAATTTGGAATAACACATGGACTCCGGGCGAACCTGCTAGCAGTACGTAGTAATATAATAATAATAAATCACGGCACATTATGTACTACGCAATAATCATTATCTAGATATTCACAAACAATATTAACACACCGTTACCGTACTAAGTACACAGGTACAATCATAATGTTTCACTCTACAGTCGGAAATTTGAAATTATTATGTACGTAGGTACTTATGTAGGTAGTCCTGAAAGCGACATGTTTTAGTGAGATGTTGTAATTACACCTGTTAAACAGTTTTAGACAACACAAACCAGGCTAGGGAGTTGGAGGTCAAGGGAACTCACGATATGGCACCAGCTTTGTATTTCTAAAATTTGATTCGTCAGAACTTATAACTGATTCGTCGCTAACAATACACATGTCTCCGGTCGCCGGGTTCAATATCCAATATTTGGAATTCTTGTTTTATGCTCAATGTGTTGTTACAATTGCCGTATTGACAAATATAATATTGTTGCGATACAACGACAAATGTCAGCGAGTCTGTGTGGGCTGGCCGAAGGGTCGGCCAACTCAGCCGTGAGCTGATACAAGTATATTTGATGAACCGTGATTTGTGAGACTCACTCGTTGTATACTTCCAATGTATGTACAGTTGCTACTCATACCTATACTTAGCTTTTGTACTATATTTTAGTAGTCGTTTGTACAATAGTACAAGCGATCGATAACCTATTGGTTAACAGGCCCGTCGTAGTGTGTAGATGTTTTCAGAGATTTTGTTTCATAACATTGAATATACTGAATGTTACCTCTCATACTCAAAATAAAAAAACATAAATTTAAGTAATTGTTGGTATAAAGAAATCACCTAGTCCGTTAATATGATGGTCTGTACATTATTACAAATGGCTGGCGTCGCAAACAAACGACCTTTAGATACGGATGCAAATGCGAAAAACTGCCGCCAGTTATGTGCCGTGCTGCCGTGCAAGGCGGTGGCTTATGATGAATGTTTTCATTTGTTACCGCGGGGTGGCGCTCGCAGCCGCGGGGCTCACTACTCGCAAATAACAAGTAAGCAAGGGTAAGATTCCAGCAGTAGCTCAATGGACAAGACGCTTATTTAAGTGGCCATAGAAGCAGTATAACCAATTTTAAAGTTTATCAATTAAATCGCTACACTTCTTATTAATTTATTCCTTAGGAATTTATTGGGTTTATTTAATCAATATTAAAACTAGTTTAAATCTAAAGAAAAATATGAACTACTACATATTGATGTTATTGAATTAGAGACCTAATGGTCTCTAAGTCAAAATCAATATTTTTCTTAAATGAATAACTTAAATACGTCTCGAAAGTAACTCTTCAGGGAGCTAAGTACCTTGTAATAAAATGTTTTCATCTTTTAGAAGAAAATTTTTAATTTTGTGTAGTACGGTTACTGGGTGCCAGGTGACGTGTTCTTGGGAACAAGGTCGGCTAGGAAATGCAGCTCAGAGGAGCAGTTTACGAGTTTTCATCACATTACAGAGTCAACATGATGTTCTGTGGCATCAATTAGCATGACTGTGTGATGCTATATGTGAGACCTAGACATTAATAAGTAAAGTAATGAACTGATAGCACCACTGCCAGCTGAAAACCAAGAGGTGGATAGTAGATTATATTTCAGAATGTATTTGTACAATAGCTCCTGGTTGTTATTCTGCGAAGCTGGGGTATATAGAATCGCGTGATGTAAAATAAAATAATAAGTAATACAGAAACTGTAAATAAAGCTGAACCTGTTGTTGTTACAACTACAAATGAGCCAACTTCCATTATAAAACAGTTTGCATGAAATTTAGGAATATAATATTATTTATGTTAATGTATGATCAACACTTGGGATAAGTCTTTGAAGTCATAACTCCGCCGGCGTAGCCCTAGCAGCAAGTTTACGACACGCCGACAGGCGACACACAACACAATACACAGTACACAGTACACGTGTATTGTGTACGGTGTGTAGTGTGTACCCCACACGAGCGTCACCGCATGATTCATTGCCACTTCCGCCGCCCGATTTATGCCGCTCGCTACATTTGCTTACAAACTCCTTTTAATATGTTAATTGATATTTACATAAATATTAATGTTTGTTTGCGGACTGCTGCATATTATGTTGTACTTGTATTACATTCAATACAAGTTGTAGCATTTGTAGCATTGTGTAATCCCAGGTTAACGTGAGACCTTTGTGCTGCGAAACATTCATGATCAATTACGACAAGTTGACAGTTGCGTATGTTAAGTAAACTTGAATGTTTGTCATGTTGTTTCAAATACTGACTGAGAAGTATTGTGGAATACTCCAAAGGACAAATAGTAAAAAATATACAGAGCTATCGGTACGTAAACAGAGAGTGTGTGAGGGAGTGCAGGAGTGGCTCCTTTAGGGCGGTATCGAGTGCACTGTGCACTGAATTAAATATTTCGTGGAGCGACGACCAGCGACGGTGCCGTCAGCTGACTGTACGTCGACACTTTGTAAACAACTACTGAGTGTAGAGTAACTGACCACACGTGACCTTGTTCATATATATGTATGTATGTATGTATTAATATCGAATGCAGTTCTACATTTGATTAAAAATGTGGTTTATTTCAGCCAAACTCAAAACCGTTTAATGGAGTTAAAAATTTTTTTACATTCACCCGTGAAAACCTTATAATCTACAACATATTATTGATGTAGGGCCGTGGGATTTGATATACAAGCTTATGCCACGTAGCAGATCATACTTACTACTAATAGATACCATGGGTGCTACGAATGCGCATACATTTAGAAATGAGTTTGGATGGACAGAATCTTCACCAAAAATTATATAATTCAGAAAATTATTAATAATAGTTATATGTTCTTGCAATACAAGCAGAATGAACGCATTTATCAAATCAGTAATTGGAACCGTCAAGTGTTTGGACATAAACAAACATGGCGCGAGTTCTCGCTAATACGGTGCATAATGATTGTGAATGTCAATAACGTGACGCAGAAAATTGCAGTAACACGACACCGGAGTGACGTCACTTGTGCTCCACTCTGACATTACGCAACGATACGTATTGATATTCACGTATTCGCTTACCAAAAATATTCGAATTTTGTTTATTATCATTTTACATACACCTATGTCATTTCCCTTGCGGTTATCCGCAGTTTCATACAGTTTCATACAGCGAACATTTTGACAAATATGGAACGAAATGTCGTACCAATATATTTACTCGTATTAAATAAAATGTTCTCGTACAAACAAAAGTTTTATTTGTTTCGCACACGTACCTCAATGATCGACGATCATGTGAAATTTAATAATATTGTAAATAAATTTACATTTGTGTAATGACTATATTGAGACTGTGGCTTACGCGAACGTCCATCAAAGTTCAAAGGTCGATTCAAGCAACACCGAGACTCGTTATCATGAGCTGTAGGCGCAGTGAATGATGCCACGCAGTCAATACAGAATCGTAAAATTACAGACCTGCCTCATGTTATCAAAAATAATAATAATAAGTTATTACCTAGAAGTAAGCTCCGTTTAAAAACATGTTTCCCGAGCCGATATCTCAAATTGTTCCCCGATTTAAAGCACTTTGAAGAGCAATTTAAATAGAAAGCAAGCCAACTATTTTCCATAATGAGCTGTTCCCGAGTGTAGTGGTATCGATTGCGAGGGGCTGGAAACAAACAGGTAATGGCGTTGACTCCGCCACCGAGCGCCGCGCGCCCGAATAACAAGCAGACACTTCGAATTGAGAAGACGCGGCTTTCCCTCTCCTCAAACTACGGGTAACAAATGAAAATATACCAAACTCTGGGGAAAACTGCTCCACACTCTATTTGCTTTGACAACAAAAGGTTTGTGATAACAATACTTTTTTAATATTTTAATTTTATTCAGTTAGGCACAGACACACATCTTCGCAAAATGTCAAATTATTATTGTAATACTGACAGAAAAAAATGACTTAGAATTCCAATATCTCTTTATAATGTCTTGTTAACAAACATTATTATCGTGTCCAGCGTGATACACCCAGGCTCGTCCTGTGCCAGTGTAGTATACACCACCGTGGAATATGATCGTGGGTGGGGCGTGTTGCACATTTACAAAGCTGGGTTTACACGTACATTCGCCTCAATCGTTTGATGGTACACACAATGCTCTTAAAACGTTTCCCAACAAAGCTTTTTGAAGCTCCGCTCCGCTGAAATTCTGTTGACATCGCAAACGTCCGTATCGGGTATTGAATGTGTTGAAGCTTAATCCGTCCGTCGGACAATGCATTCCCTGAAAAAATACTAACGGAGAACATTTTATGCAATGACATGTGAATAATATGCTTTTGCTTCTCATACTTTGCGAGGAAATCTTCTTAACGTATTTGCTTCTGTTGTAATGTAGGGATTAAGATATTATTTCTTTATAGCAGAGCTTTGTGTAAGTGTTCTTATAATGATGTTCATACAAAATGATGATGTTAGTGTAGGTGTGACTGCATTTGCACGTATAACATTTAATAGCAATTCGTACACTTTCGTAGCACGCTACGAACACGTTGTAGACTACTGGGCGTGCTACGAACGCGTAGCGCTCGTAGTATCGTCACGTCGCTATTACTATCTATTCTTTGTCGCAGCATTTAGATATTCACGTATTTGCGGAATATAACTCGTACAATGAAAGTTTAACCTCATACACATGAATAATTATGTCGCTAATAGTAATGTGCGAGAAGTGTCGGTGTCTAATTGCAATCCATAACGCACGATTCATTTTTAGGAGAGTATAAACGAAACAGTTCATGTGAAAATATAACAATTGCTTTACACGATTAGCCACCATGGCGTAAGTATAATAGGGAGCGTTATACCACTCCGCTGTTTAATGTTGTTGTTGATAATGTATGCCGCACAATATTGGCGAAGATATCACATAAAGTTTAAGATCACCGCCGTCGTTCATTCGCGTCCCGGTGTTAAACTATGTATGTAACAGCCGCAATCGATCCCGCGGTCACCCCTATTGAATACTGAGGGGATCAACCACTTGTTACAATGCGCTTCCCATCACAACTATTCCGGGTCATGTAGCACACAGAACCACGTGAAATTGTCGATGAAATTAAGGAAAGATTTATTGACGGATCGCCACCACATTGGATAGGAATTGGGCGTTAATACAATTTAACTTATTTATTTATTTTATATTGTAACTTGAACACGAACATTTACATTGTGCACAAGAACATCTATAAAAGATTAAATCTTGATAACGAACCATGAAACTATCTCCGGTTCCACGCAACTCTTCCTACAAATAGCCATGGATACGTCACATAAAGCGTCAATTTTATGATTA